GTTTTGATATATATATATTTGTGTTTTTTTTGTAAATAAGATAAATGAAGTATTAAATCTGTTATGTACAAGCATTGCTGCTGGAATGGATGCAATGCTATCTTGCAATGGGTTATTATTTTTCCTTCCAGCCGTGTGGTACATGTCTGTGGTGTACCTCTAATACTGCCTTGCTCTCATTCGTTGACTAAGCCGTGCAAACATCTGAAAGTAATCTCACATTGTTTACAAATGCGCCGTAATGTGGTATTACGAAACACGCGCAGAAGCGACAGGGGTTAGCTGAGTTTCTGTAAACATTGCAAACGTCCAAACCAAACCATGATACATGATATGTTAAAAGTGTTACGTAAACACTGACGTCCCGAAATAAAGCTTATATCAACCTCACTATAAGTAATAGGTTTGTAAGTGCAGCTAATTAAAACACATCCCTTAGAGTCAACAGCAATAATCCTTTAGAAACATGGCTGACACAGCCAACCGCTTTGACCATGTTCCAAAAATTAAAAAAAATAATCCATTAAGTCTGCTACGGAAAAAAGAGTAAGTAGCCATAACAACATAATACGGTGATCCTGATAAATGGTATGTGTAGCAAATTGTCTATATGTTTACCTTGGTTTTCTTATTCTTACACATCAAATATCTATGACTTCATATTATTTGTGCGTCCCGTTTTGTAGAAGATATACAGTATACATATAGTAACAGATTTGTTTCTTTAGCTCGGTAGCGTGTCTGACTAGGACGTCTGGGATCGCGGGTTTGATCCCCAGTAAACGCAGAAGTTATTTTTACTATTTTTTCCCATAAAAGTTGAAAGGTCCTGTGTTACACTAATCATTAGAACGCAATAAACGATTAATTATACACTGGTTACCACTTAATTGTATTTCAATGCACATGATAAGACAAGTCATATAGAAAAAAACAGCCGTTTTGTTACTTACTTTGATCTATAAACTAATTTCGGCAGCAATGACCTTCTGCCATAACTTCTTGGATTTGATAGGCAACACCATGAAGGATTTTTTATCACAGAGTATAGTCTGTTGGAATGTGATAAACTGATGACCGAGACAAATCTGGCGTTAAAAAAGATATAAAAGGAATAGGGCATTTTTGACCTCGTAAAAAATAAACATTTTAACTTGAATATATTGGTTAATTCGGGCTATCTTTCTTGGTGCAGATTTTGTCCAATGTGCGTGCGTAGATGCCATACCATAGCAACACAATGCCGTTGATATGCCGGTTTAGCCAAAATATGGAGTTTTTGGACAGTTAGCATGCAGAAATAAAAGCCTCCGCATGTGACAAACAAAAATTCCTTTCTGCGAATGAACACTAGTATGGCAATATTTAAGCATGTCAAATATTTATTTGTTTGTTGCATTCGGAGGCTTGTGTATGTCTGATAAACGCAAGACACACATGTGTAATTCCATCTATACAATTTGTTATAGATACAGTATTGCGTAATTGCACCTATTCAATTTGTAATAGATACACACATGTGTAATTCGACTATACAATCTGTTATAGATACACACATGTGTAATTGTACCTATACAACCTGTTATAGATACACACATGTGTAATTGCAGCCATACAATTTGTTATAGATACAGACATGTGTAATTGCACCTATACAATTTGTTATAGATACACACATGTGTAATTGCACCTATACAATTTGTTATAATTACACACATGTGTAATTGTACCTATACAATTTGTTATAGATACAGACATGTGTAATTGCACCTATACAATTTGTTATAGATACACACATGTGTAATTGTACCTATACAATCTGTTATAGATACACACATGTGTAATTACACCTATACAATTTGTTATAATTACACACATGTGTAATTGTACCTATACAATTTGTTATAGATACACACATGTGTAATTGTACCTATACAATCTGTTATAGATACACACATGTGTAATTGTAGCCATACAATTTGTTATAGATACAGACATGTGTAATTCCACCTATACAATATGTTATAGATACACACATGTGTAATAACACCTATACAATTTGTTATAATTACACACATGTGTAATTGCACCTATACAATTTGTTATAGATACACACATGCGTAATTATACCTATACAATCTGTTATAGATACACACATGTGTAATTGTAGCCATACAATTTGTTATAGATACAGACATGTGTAATTCCACCTATACAATATGTTATAGATACACACATGTGTAATAACACCTATACAATTTGTTAAAGATACACACATGTATAATTTCACATATACAATTTGTTATAAATACAGACATGTGTAATTCCCCCTATACAATATGTTATAGATACACACATGTGTAATTGCACCTATACAATTTGTTAAAGATACACACATGTGTAATTGCACCTATACAATTTGTTATAAATACAGACATGTGTAATTGCACCTATTCAATTTGTAATCGATACACACATGTGTTATTGCACCTATACAATCTGTTACAGATACACACATGTATAATTGCACATATACAATTTGTTATAGATACACACATGTGTAATTGTACCTATACAATCTGGTTTAGATACACACATGTGTAATTGCACCTATTCAATTTGTAATAGATACAGACATGTGTAATTGCACCTATTTAATTTGTAATAGATACACACATGTGTAACTGCACCTATACAATCTGTTACAGATACACACATGTGTAATTGCACATATACAATTTGTAATAGATACATACATGTGTAATTGCACCTATACAATCTGTTATAGAAACACACATGTGCAATTGCACATATACAATTTCCTATAGATACACACATGTGTAATTGCACTTATACAATTTGTTATAAATACACACATGTGTAATTGCACATATACAATTTGTTATAGATAAACACATGTGTAATTGCACCTATACAATCTGTTACAGATACACACGTGTGTAATTGTACCTATACAATCTGTTATAGATACACACATGTGCAATTGCACATATACAATTTCCTATAGATACACACATGTGTAATTGCACTTATACAATTTGTTATAGATACACACATGTATAATTGCACCTATACAATTTGACATAGATACACACATGTGTAGTTGCACCTATAAAATTTGTTATAGATACACACATGTGTTATTGCACCTATACAATCTGTTTTAGATACACACATGTGTAATTGCATCTATACAATATGTTACAGATACACACATGTGTAATTGCACATATACAATTTGTAATGGATACATACATGTGTAATTGCACCTATACAATTTGTTATAGATACACAGTAATAGATACACACATGTGTAACTGCACCTATACAATCTGTTACAGATACACACATGTGTAATTGCAGCCATACAATTTGTTATAGATACACACATGTGTAATTGCACCTATACAATCTGTTATAGATACACACATGTGCAATTGCACATATACAATTTCCTATAGATACACACATGTGTAGTTGCACCTATACAATTTGTTATAGATACACACATGTGTAATTGCACCCAAACATCTGTTACAGATATACACATGTATAATTGCACCTTTACAAATACAATTTGTTATAGATACACACATGTTTTATTGCACCTATACAATCTGTTATAGATACAGACATGTGTAATTGCACCCAAACATTTGTTACAGATATACACATGTGTAATTGCACCTTTACAATTTGTTATAGATACACACATGTGTAATTGCACCTATACAATTTGTTATCGCTACATACATGCCGAAATGCATTACAATGCACCACACATCTGTTTCGGCCTTCTAATTGTACCTATACAATCTGTTACAGATACACACATGTGTAATTGCACCTATACAATTTGTGACAGATACACACATGTGTAATTGCACCTATACAATATGTTATAAATGCACACATGTGTAATTGCACCTATACAATTTGTTACAGATACACACATGTGTAAATGCACCTTTACAATTTGTTACAGATACACACATGTGTAATTGCACCTATTCAATCTGTTATAGATACACACATGTGTAATTGTACCTATACAATCTGTTACAGATACACACATGTGTAATTGCACCTATACAATTTGTTATAGCTACACACATGCCGAAATGCATTACAATGCACCACACATCTGTTTCGGCCTTCTACGACTCATCGGTGATGTTAGGACCCAAAACGTGGAAATCCAAATTAGTTGAAACTTCTGTTGAAACTGAAAGGATGGTGCGTACATTCTTTTATTGTATGATATTCAAAAATTGGAAAGGTATACTGGTTAATTTGAAATTAATAATGAGTTAAGTGAATATATTATAAGCCATGCCGCTGGTCAAAAGAAACCGTGTTCCTGCATCATGATATGTGGATCTGTTGTAAGCTGACAAGAGCGTGAAACAAAGAAAATAAGACAGGTAACAATATTGATTGAACTTTGATCGTACGTCCGCTCTTGACTAAATTCCCCATTCCTTAGAAATCCTCGGAAAACAACACAAACCATCTTCTCCAACAAATCTCAAAGAAACATCCGGAATTTGTCCAAACCGTCATTAAGTCCACAATTAGGATAATCCATTTACGTTAAATAAATTGAGATAGTATCCATCCGGAGGTTTAGACAACGTATCGTAAAGTCAGGGGATTTGATAATCCTACACCGATTCACAATGTTCAGTTGTTACAAGCAAGTTCCATCTTCTCCGGAACAAAGTTTTCCTGTCTTCTAGTCCGGATATTACACACTCTACTGTCTATTGACTACCGAAGTCAGCCCTTTATTGAAATCTAATTAGTCAATGACTTTACGCCCCTCAATACTCGATATGGCCCCTTCGTCCTGGTAACCGACATATGTGAGGACGGACCCTCCCAGGCTCGGCTGGCCAGGATAAGGGGCTGGCTCTGCGCTGTTTGCACAAGGGTAGACCTATATAGGTCAAAATTAATCCAGGACTACAATCTCTTCAGTTTTGACAAGTGATGTTCAGGATGAAGGTTTTACAGTACACCAGCGTTTTCTTGGGTAAGTCCTCCGTGTTATCGACCAATACGATCTTTTGTGATTTTTTCTAGAATTATTCAGTTTGATGTATATTTTTGCCTTGTAATTCGCTATTAGAATTTCTACGATCTTAATTTTTTCATGAATGCCAATGTTTTCTAATGTTACTAAGTAGTTGCGGTAGCCAACAAAACATAGATTGTAGATCAATATATACACTTATTATAGTTTTTAACCTCTCTCTCTCTCTCTGCGATGTTAATATATACTAAAATTCACATCAAATTATTCTTGTTTTTAGAGAGATAGGTATAGAAATGTGGAAAACTGTTTTATGTCAGATATAATTGCAGAATATCTACACTGAATTACGTTACATCATTTTCGTTAGTATCTCCTTAGAAATGATAAAACGTTATATGGAGATTTGAAAAGACACCTGAAACTTGTGTTTGATATGTTTTATAGTCGTTCCAGTTGTAAACATAGCTCTCACTCAGAAATAGAATTGTAAGGTTATTGTAAGAATCAAGCCGACCTCCCAATATTACCAATTTTTAGTCTGAATGGTTGGATTGACAACAACTGCATACGTATGAGTAGGTTATGGACTATACCAAGGCGCGGGTAAATAGCAAAGCCTGTTTGCTTTCTGCATAAATGTTTATGTCAAAAAAAAGAGGAATATATAAGAACCAATTAGATACATGACTTTTTGTCGTTTTCGGGATGCGATCAAGCAAATTTTTGAAATCATCAATAGAACAGATATTTTTAACCGTTCTCCTCAATTCGTACAAAAACAATTCGCTATTAGAATTTCTACGATCTATTTTTTTTAAGAATGTCAATGTTTTCTTACGTTACTAAGTAGTTGTGACAGCTAACAAAAGTTGAGGGTGTTAAAGTAATAAGTTGATGGTGATGAAATTTAAAAAAAAAATGAAATTTTATTATGTCTGGTTAAAGGTTCGGATGCGTCATTGTTTATGATAAACAAACTGTCTGACGTCTTCATATTTTAAACCACGGGAACTGCAAGAACATCTTCATGTACTCCTAGTAATGCCGTTCATATATATATTCTTACGGAGAGTTATCTATTTTATATAAAAGAAAAACCAGAAAATGCCTATAAATCGCAGTTAATCATTCAATTTGCCCAAGGTCCTTTTCAGGAAATGTCTTGATTTTGTCAACATGTTGTCAACAGCACCGTACTAACATGTAGGTGGCGTGTCACGTGGGTGAAAACAGATTATTTGTTGTGTGTATTACCAGGTCTAAAATGGATGAGATGGCAATATGGTGCCTTCAACAATATAACAGAAGCTTGTCCTTCTGGGCTTAAAAAGTGTTTAAATATTTGCCCCCTTTTTATATTTCTAGTGATAAAACAGAGTATATTCTTGGTCAGTCCTATTGTTTTCTATTAAAGCGAAAAGGCGTTCTGATATTTGCCTGTACTTTCTACCTTAGCATTTTGAATGCTTTACAAGTTGCTTTAAGTGAGATATATGAAATTATGTATGTGAAATTATATCTTATATAGTAAAGGACACTTAACATTTCTATAAATGTCATTTTCCTGGGGTTCCTAATGATCACGATTTACACAATTGATCAATTAGGCAGGATTCATTATTGGCGGTCTAGTTACCAAGGTATGCAAAATTAAGGGAAGGTTCGATTTAATCCTTTTATTTTTATGGGGGGGGGGGGTTTCGCGGAAAATCGTTACTGTGAAAATGGCAAAAATATTGAACCCCGCGAATAATCCACCTTTACATTTGTTTTGTTCTCAAAGCTCCGATACCTTTACGATACCAGCCTACCTACGGCATCAAAAATCCTTCCTAAAAATTACACATCGTTTAGTTATATAGAGCAGTTTCGTATCCATTTACATGTAACTAAAATTTGCTGTTCCATTTCATTATAGAAACATTTATGAAAGTGTTAAACACATTAATAAAAACCTAACCAGGCATCTCGATAAATATAACAGGAAACCCAGGAAAGCGTGGACTATGGAGTCCTGACAACAACATCACCTCATTGTATCATATAAATTAGAATGACCATGATGTGTCAAGAACCAATCTCTCTTTAAAAATCCGAATTCCTTATGTAAATCTTTTTTTTCATTTGAAAACTTGAAAAATTAGCTTTTAAACACTTACAAGCTGAAACTAGCTACTATTGATATCAGTACCTGCATAGCACGGTCAATAAAAAGAATGTGTTTCTATCATTCATAATCAATAATAAAGGTACCTTTGGGATTTCGATATAGATTTTGTACATACGATATGTATTTTAAATAAAAAAAATAGAATGTAATTTGCTAAGCGATTGCAACGTTTTATGAAAAATGAACATAACACAACACACGCGAGGGCAACTTTAAGATCTGGTAATAGGTAGGCCTACAGTTTACCGAAAATAAACCACACTGCATCGCACTGATGTGTCCTCTTTCTTGGACTTATCGATGTTGTTAGGTTCAAATTCAAGTTCAAGTTCATTTATTTCCTTAAGCTTTACAGCTTATCAGTTGTGCATATATACAGTGCAACATAAAGTAAACAATTAAACACCAACACACATACACACCACTTCCGCACCTACTCCTAGAAGAGATATATCTTGCTCTGCTGAAATAATGTAATTAATTATAGAATAATATTTGATGATACGGACATACTAATGTATTAATGACAAACACTAGATACATTTGATTTAATTCAGTACATTTTGTCGACGTCTATTAGCGATTCTTGCATATTTGGCCAAGTTGGTTATTTCTTTTTTATTTTCAGTGGATAACAACTTAATTAATTTATGCATACTTGTATATCTGTTATAGAAAGGTTGATTAAATGAATTGCGTAAATCGGAATAAAATGGACATTTAAGAATAAAATGAATTTCGTCATCTAAATCATTAGAGGCACATAACGACAACAAGTAGGGAATCACCATTGTCCTAACTACTTTTAAAACAGAGGGCCAAGTGCGTTAACACCGGAATGTATGAAGATTTAAAGGAGTACTGATTATTTACAAATTAAATAAACTAATATATTTCAGTTCTCATAAATAAGTTAAGTTTATTGTACGCTAACGCCAGTGGTCTAGATCATGATAACTGTGTATATGTACACCACCACAATCTTTATTGTAACAACTATTGATTTATGGTGAAATAAACAGGATGTACAGACATAATATAATTAAACATACAACTTCTCACACGAGACATGTTCCAAGTCCAAAACAAACGTTCAGATAGTGTGAAGTATGTTAAAATATTCACCTAAGTATATCCTTGTTATCTTAAGCCGTTCGCTTTCTTTGAAATAAAGCGTGTGTGTTATTACCTGTTCTATACGACTTGACTTTATGTATAATAACTACGTCAGGACATTAATGAATAGACCTGTTATATGTGTGTGTCCATATAAATGTACTATTACAAGCTGTTAGTGAGAATTTCATGTATACGACAATATGTATAAGCATTTTATAAACATGGATATATAATTCACAAATATTTCAAGCTAACCATACCTTGATCATTATCGTCCAGTGTTTGTACTTTCGGTGACATGTTATCATCGGCATTTCACTCCAAGTATATGTAACTGTGGATAAGTATCTGATAAACGACAGTGTATGGTTAACTGGGGATAAGTATCTGATACACGACAATATATAGGTAACTGGGGATAAGTATCTGATACACGACAGGGTATAATTAACTGGGGATAAGTATCTGATACACGACAGAGTATAGGTAACTGGGGATAAGTATCTGATACACGACAGGGTATAGTTAACTGGGGATAAGTATCTGATAAACGACAGGGTATGGTTAACTGGGGATACGTATCTGATACTTGTCCGATTTGTATGTACCAACACATTGTTACAAGGCTATGACAATGGAGAATCCAGCGATTCAGAAAATCCAAGCCTGGCAATTTCCATTAAAGTCCTCTAACTTTTACCAAATACTTCAACAGTTAACTTGATCGTTGTTTTCCGTTGTCTAGAGCTTTGAATGTACAATGTACGGTGACGATCTAACCACATCATCAAACACTGTTCAGGACAAACAGATAACACTAATTTTTATTTGTTCAATACGATGTAGTGTAAAATGCTAGTGTGCATTTCCTTTTCCCTATATAGCCCTGACGTCTTTGTACCGTAAAACATTTTAGACTTTCGTATACAGTAAAACCTCAATATACTGCTACCAATATCCGGTAGAAAGTTGTCGTTATAAAGGAATTCTTCAGAAAACGAGAAAATGGGACATTGAATAAGATGGCGATAAGCGAGGTGGCAGAGGAAACGAGGGGCATTAAATCGAGGGTTAACTGAACTATATAACCATTTATTTTTCAGGAGATTTCCATTTCCAGCTAACTTCGCGAGTTATCTAGAGTGCAAACTATATTATCACTAATATTTGTTGAGACAATGAATGTGTATACTATGTTTTGTATAGCGAATTAAAAAGTTTTGCGAATGGTTAGTCTTTCACGGATATTGGTATTCCCACATTAAAATATTTATGAACATGGTTCAAAGGTTAAAATCATTCTTTTCTACGTTGTTTGACTTATTTTTGTCTGTCTTATCATCGCCTGTGTCAACTGTTATGGCTCGTATGACATGTGTGTGTTGTTGGGCTGACAATTTGTATCGATGAATCATTGCTTGTTTCAGTTGCCATCGCTGTAGCTGCCACTTGTAAGTATAAATCACATACCTGCTTTACCTTACATATTTCAACATTACAAAGACTTGTGTTTTCTTGTGTTTTACTGTAGTGTGGCGTGTGTGTCTTTTTATATATATTTTTGGAGATTGTAGTAAGGCGAGGGGGAGGGCTTCAACATTTTTTACTGTTTTCACCCGGATCATACTGGTGGTAATTTATTATAACTACGGCGCTGACAACTTTATATTTAGTAGTAATAATGTTAAGTCTTAAGTCAATATCTTTCATTCATTTTGGGCGGACCGTTAAAATAACTCGGGGATTATTAATCTGTTTAATTTAAAGAAAAACAAATCTTGAAAGCTATCTTCTATATTTTATGAAATTTAGCATGCTACAGAAAAACATATCGACTGGTTGAAATATCTTGTGTAGCTTTAGTACCTATGAAAATGCAGCAATTTTGATATTGCAATAATTTTAAACATACGTTTCAGCACAGAATTAGATTAGATGCTATCTAAGTCCATGGTATCAGTAAATATCTCCGGTAGCACAATTCATTGTATACATACAACATACAACTTATAAAACTATATGATTTTTTTTCTCTCAACAAATATCAAAGTAAATTGACGTTTTGTTATTGATAATATGGATTGTTGTAACCTTGCATTTTCGTAGCTGATCCTTGTGCGCAAAACCTTGTCACTGGTCCGTATGGAGTCCCGGATGACCACATCACCGCTTCGAGCAGTCTAAACGGAAACATCTACGCTGGACCTGAAAGGGGTCGCCTTAACACTACTGCTAGCCAGCTACCAAATGGAACTTATATCCAGGGATCATGGGCGCCCACTCAAAATTCCAAAAAGGAATACATCCAGGTGAGTTTTGTCAAACTAAAAAGATAAAACCAGTTAAAGGTTATACCGATTCGGTTTCAGAAGCAGCGCTTGCTTGTAAGACCGTGTTCGTGGAAGAGCTCCTTAGCACGTCGTACCCCACCTTTTGTCATATGTTCTTCAGTATCTTAAAACAGATTAATATTCTTTTTACTCATTCAGCCCTGAAATATTATAATGAACTATTCCAGCGTTCGAATTGGAAGAGTTCAAATGTGACGTCAGGGGGGAATGAGTTAAATGCTATCCCCTTTGTCTTCAAACAAAATATTGGAATTATCTTTAAATTTATCGTTATAGTTGCCCTCTTTGTAAAATAACAAACATATCCTGGATTTAAAACCGAATTACCTTGGCTAAATTGTAAATGTTTTTGCTTGGCCAAACATTCATGTTCCAATAGAGCCTTTGATAGTCTAGATCTTTAATATATCACACAGGTTGAATTGAAAGATGCAAGTCTCATCAGAGGAGTCATGACACAGGGACGGAATATACTTCCCAGTGAGAACAGCATAGAATATGTCAACTTATACCACGTGGCCACGAGCATGGATGGTGTCAATTTCACAAGGGTCACCGGTACAAACGGAAAGGACAAGGTAGGGGATTGATTTTACTTACTACTTAATATAGTGTTCTGTCAAAATATGCAAAAATGTCATTATGTGGCTAATAGACATTCTTCTTATAGTTCTTGTGTGGTTTCATTCCACATGACGTTATCTCAAGTTTAACTAGTAACTGTTACGATATAAACATTATGTGAATAACCATATGTAATTGGTTATAGCCGATTCGTGTCAGTTTGTGTACTCTTCACCTTATATGATATTTACGGTACCAGAGTGTCTTTATCATCAATGAAAAAACAGTATTTTTCTTAAACTCACCTAAAAGTTTTCTTCCTACGAGAATTGCAGGTAAAGTGCGGCAGGAGGAGAAGCGTCAAAAATACACTGATCTTATTGCCTATTTCTTCTTGTAAAGTTCATATATAGCGGTCGCTACAGCGCTAAATCATAATAATATTTCTTCAATAGACCTATTTGCTGCATTATTGGAATCATGAAGTGGATTCTTCGTAAAACAAGAAGTGGATATCACACTTTTCTGGGAATTTGCTCTGTACATAATTATATCATTATTGTTTGTTTTCAGATCTTCCGAGGTAACATAGATTCTGACACCATAGAAACAAGTAGTCTCCCGTGCCCTGTGTTCGCCAAGTACGTCCGCATCATCCCGGAGGCCTGGTCTCAGAACATCTCTATGCGGTTTGATCTTTTGGGATGTCAAATTGACCAAAGTCAAAAAGGTAGACAACTCACGCACATGTACCCGTGCTACCTAAACATTTAGCAACCCTCCAGGTGTTCATCGTCGAAATCCTATGGTTACAACTTTGACTTTTTTTTTAATATATTCTCGTTCTTTGATCCATCCTCGATAAGCTAGTGGTTACGCTCACTTAAGCTCTCAGCAGCCCTGGCATATGCCATGACAAAATCGAAAGTTCGGTGTGCGCCAAGTTGTGGATGACACAAGAAGGCTAGTTTGATCCTTTCTATACATGAAAAGAATTCTTTGGCAAGGATAATGGTGAAATTAACTTGTTTTCTAGTCTTGTGTCGCTCCTTTGTAAATTGCAAAGGACAGTGTTTAATACAGCGGTTTGTCAGGATTGTTTCTACCTGTGACCAATCAAATAGCTACCTGCATGCCTTTAATTTTGGCCTGACATATTCCAGGATGTAGAAAGTGCAAGAAAGCGGAACCCCTGGAGTATCGACGATGATATGAGCTGACGAGCTGTTTAAACGTGCAATAGTTCATCAAAGCCGGCAAATAGATTTAAACTTTTAGATTGTATAATATTTGATAACATGCCTGTCTCTATTGCTATAATGGTACTTGTATTGTATGTTGAGAGAAGACCTTGGTTGATAAGTTGCAATAATACGTGCCTAATCTCTTCATATATATATTTATGCATTGTTCAAAAAACTACCGGACTATTACCAAGTTTACTATATATACATTTATGCGAAAAGATAAAAATCACAATCTGACCTTAGTTTGTAATCCCTAACATTTACAGAGTATCCCAGTGAATGTTTCCTATTATGATTATCTTTACAATTAATACAATATTTGAGTATCTTTATGTGTTTATATTTACACAAATAATAAACTTTAAGCCTTATTGTTCCCAATCCAACTTAGGATATTTTCAAAACATAACATATAGATAAAATGCATACTGTTTTTTTTTATTTGCAGTCAATTTGTGTCTTTACTGTGTGCACTATGACAGCGTACCTATGTGTAAATGTGTTTTGTTTAAGACGGATAGCCTAGAAATGTAAACAATCCTGCTGAGTAATTGAACTGATTTTGTGATTTAAAAAACCCGATCGAATTAAGTCAAATTGTAGTTAAATAAAGTTTCACACACGACATGAGTTCCGGAGATATATGGACATATTAGATGTCTACACATTTCTTCTGTTGTAGCTCCTATGACAACCACGCCACTGCCCACTTCGGCTCAGCCGCAGACAACAGCTCAAAGTCAGCAACAAACAACAGCCCAGAGTCAACAACAAACAACAGCTCAAAGTCAGCAACAAACAACAGCTCAAAGTCAACAAACAACAACTCAAAACCAACAGACCACAGCCAAAGCAGCTTTGACGACAGCGGCCATCGTTAAAACGACAGCGAGCGCCGCCCAAGCTACAACAAATGCTGGCACAACAGGTAAGTTAAACATAATATTATACATATCATTATATGAATCAACAAGAGTGATGCATATATATAATAATAATTCGAGGTTCTTATATACCGCTTTATCACAACCTAGGTCGTAGGTCGTCTCCAAGCGGTTCACAAATTGTTATCCGTGGTTATAGGGCCTTTGCAACCAGCCAATAACTTTCTCAACACCCTGATGAGCATACAGCCGGTGCTGCCATTTCGGTGCTCACAGCTAGCATTCTACAATTCTAGCACTGCCCAACCACGTACTCATATACAACTGAGTAGACTAGAATAAGCGGAGTAAAGTATCTTGCTCAAAGATACAACACAGTGCCGTGCCGTGACTCGAACCCACAATCCTTCGGTCACGAGCCTGGCGTCCTACCACTAGACTACCGTGCCTCCATATAAGCTGATAGAAAATGTTTCATAGTTGTGGTAAAACAACATCAAATAAATAATTATATTAACCTCTTTATAGCACTGCAATTGCATATCCCTACCAAGTTAGGACCGATTAAATTTCATTGCCTAGGCGTTGACATCATGATCATCATGACGTCATAATTGTAATGCGTTAGATACCAATGGCCATCTATGAAAGGTGGTTTTCTTTTCATTTAACGAGGATACGCGTTGCATATACTGATTTGAACTATGTGCTGTACTTAAATAAATTCAAAGTTTTTTATCTTCATTACCGGAAATGGTAAATATAAGCATTGAACTGTGTCGATGTGTCACTTACAATCTACATGAAGTGCAAAGCTTTGCACACAAACATGAAAATGCTTACTTATACTTCACCTTCGGTTCAATGTGACTGGTCAAGACAGGTCACATGTCCGGTGGACAAACCATCATTTCTCCCGTCAGCGCGTACCCCTGTTCAGTTTGTGGAATATAGGTAACCTTTTGAAAACTTGTGAAACAGAACATCATATCTTCCTCTTACCTGAGTAAGAAATGTATTACAATTGCCGTACTTGTGTAAGCTCCGTGCACATGTTATCAGAAGATCTTTAAGGAATCAACACTGAAGGTTTTAAGGTATATGTATGTATGTTAGCTTCAGAAAGCTCGATATCGAATAGATTTTTCGCTGTCTATTAAAACACGTGTAACTTTTCTATATGAGGTGTATCTGATATGAGCAGGAACTTAACATGACGTCACAATGAATACTTTTCTTCTATCACTAGATCTCTGTCACCCGATTCGAGTTCACACCAGGAAGCATGAATTTTATAGGGAAAACCAATCATGCTGATCTCAGTTAACGGCAATTAACATATAATATCGGCTTTTGAAATGGTTCTTTTGTGTTGTTCATGTTATAGTATACAATTACTTACCAGTCATTTGTAACTATGTACTTGTAAATTGAAGAAAAAACGTAATTATAAACAATTACGTTTATAAAATAGCTATTTAGAACATGTGTATTTGCATACAAATATTAGTCAAATACAGTGCTAATTCATGTAGTTGTCTATTGACCACGCTTAACCTGCAGGTCAGGGATCGAGAAAATCCACGCTTAACCTGCAGGTCAGGGATCGAGAAAATAACACACTTGTACTGTTGTTACCCACTGTATGTATCGTTAGAGGCGACTAATGTGTGAACCCCGTCAGAATTGGGGATTTGCTTTTTGTCCTCTACTTGGGGACACAAAAGCGACCAAAATATATTTGCTGCACCCATTGCAATATTTGGGATCTATATATTTCTATCTTCTTCTAACTATCTATTATTTCCTAGCGACTTGCTTGGCAACACCTCAATTTTGTTTTAAATGTTAAACGTTTACCCTGGTGAGGAAGGCAATGGGTTATGTCCAACACCTTGTCACCGGTTGTTATAATGTGACCAGGCGGAATGATATGCTTGGTGCCTTCGGTATGGTATTTCAGTGAGATATCACTAAAAAGTCGGCATCAGATCTGCGCTTTCACAAGGAGGCAAGTACACCAACATACCCTGTGTCCGGCACACATACACTTCACACATGGAGTCACGTCCTTAGCTTTTATTAGGACGTTCAACAAAATCAAACCAAAACAAACCAAACCTATTGATCAAACTCCTTTATATTTCAGCGGGAGCTCCAGCAATTGCTACTCTGGCAGGAAACGTTCCCGCTGTCCGTAAGTACAGATTGCAATGATTTCTTATTTTTTTATTCCAACATGGTCTACAAGTATCTGTAATAGACAAATGCTGTAAATATAATGTTATAACGGGTTTATGAATAAATTATCCATTTGCTGAACTGCAACATATGTATATTCATTCTGAGACAGAAACGTTTTAGACGGACGTAATGGTGATATGGTGAAGTTTACTTGTTTACCTCGTTTCGCTTTCCATATAGAATTACTAGCAGTTTATATGTACTTCGTGTTTCTAGCGATTTTTTGCCGGTAGGTGTTTTATATTCCAAAGCTATGATAGCCGGTAGTGGTCGTTAATGACATAGCTACGATTTCCGTTCTGTTACGTATCATTTCCACTGCTTCACCTGGCTTTTTATCAAGGGGGGGCTACACGCCTGCCCTTCTGTTTCAACAGCAGCTCAGACCAGATTTGATTCCTCACTATTTGGCCCCAGTATCATCGAGGAGTCTCAGAAGGACAAAACAGCTGTATGGTGTGGTGAAAATCATTGTTGGCGTACTTGTACTGTAGTTATTATCCAATGTTTAAGGTGCAGACAATATGGAATGTCTTAGGTCCATCTCATATACTGAAAACATAATTAAGGTTTGTGTACTTTTTTTTAGCTTGCGTCAGTGATTGCAAGGGCAAAGCTAACGGAGACTACCAGGGGTGTAGTACGACTAAGAAATCCTGTGAAATGCCCACGTATGTCGCCTGTTCCAACGGTATTTTATACACTATGCCCTGCCCAGCAGGCTTGGTCTGGAATGACGCACTGTCGATTTGTGATTGGCCAGTCGCAAACTGTTAACAACGCTATTTCAAAACTGGAGATGTAACCTTTGTATTAAGAGACACTGCAGCAGATGTAAGAGACTGGCGGAAATCCTGCTAGTTGTTAAGGCCTGCAGTGACCAATTAGAAAGACTAATTTTGTAAAAAGAATAGACAATGATAACAAATTTTACATTATAATTTGAATTCTGATATAACTCAATGTCATATATTTTCAACATGTAATTTTCCTTCTTGTCCCGATTATAGTTGATATTTTGAAGATATTATTCAATATGTGTATAATAAAGATTTCTTTTGCGAATATTGTTCGTCGTTGTTAACGTTTATTCTGTGCAAGGCAAAACTCAATTTTCCACTTAAATAACATCGATATTGACAACATGTCCATCATCAAACAAACTGTTTTTTCTCACAATAAGATAGAGTTATATAATATCTTGCATTATTTTGGTTTCCATTATATCAATATCAACTATTAAAAATCGAATTAATTTGAGATGTAACACGACATCTGTTTGGTCAATCAAAATGATTTGCAATAGTATAACCACGATAATTATACCGCCCGACATTGTTTTCTCATTTGCATATAAATTATCATTAAAATAATAATAATATACCGCTTGATCAAAACTTAGTTCTTGGGGCGTCTCAAAGTTGTTCACAATTACTATCCATGGTTTAAGAGTTTTGCAACCAGCCATTATCGTTCTCGGCCCCCTGGGAAGCATACAGCCGGTGCTGCCATTCAACAGTTCTAGAACTGCCCAGCCACGTACTCATTTATAGCTGAGTAGACTGGAACAGATACAACACAGTGCCGTGCCGTGACTCGAACCCGCAACCATTCGGTCACGAGGCCGGCGTCCTACCACTAAACTACCGTGCTATCCTAAAGCTCAAACTGCGATTGTTAAGGACGTCAAAGACTCCGTCTGACCCTGACCCAGGTCATGGAATTGATTTTCTCCTACCCTTGACAGGTGTATATTTCACCCCCTTGGGGTGAGATAGGGGACTCTCAACCCGAGGGAGAAGATCCTTAAGTTGCCAAGCACGAGTCTTTGCCGATTGTTTGCCAACTTAAGAATCTTTCCCCGAGGGTTGAGATTACCCTATCACACCCACAAGGGGGTGAATGGTTCTTTTTCTCTTACCCTATTCTCCCATTGTGTATCATATACACAATGTAATGATAAAGTTACATGCTAAATTCAGGGTTGATGTGACGTTGATTATCACAATATACCGCCGCAATTTTTTTAAATACATTTTGTATGTAATTTATACTATGTACATTTTGCTTGTAGAGGTCCATTTGTCAGTCTTGGCTGCTGATGGGGCTTATATGTCACAGTTAAGTTGCTTCTCTAGAACTTTATCTAAATATCAGGATTTTCAGAAGATATGCTTCTTGATGACTATTCTAACATCGAATGATTATAATCTTATAATATTTAGGAATTGGAGCAACCATACCCCGATATATATAACAGTTCAACGGATTATTTTCAATTTCATACCAGCATGAACGTTGCAAAAATATCGCTCAATCATTCTGTTAAGATTTTTAATTTTTAGTTATTGACATAAATTTAGAGATTCCCTTAAATTTTCGATATTGAAGTATCTGTGTCGTCAGTGCAAACGATAGATTCCTGGAACAACGTAACGTCACCAAAATATTTGCTTCTAACGCTTGTCTCATGTTGTTCGAGGCGGGGGAGAAGCTTCAAAATGATGCTGATCAAATTGCGTTGGTTTTGTTTTGTTTAGTATTGTATTCAAGGACGGCCTCCCCTGTGTGCAAGATGCATGCGTTTAGTGTATGCGTGCGTGTTTTGGGAGGCTGCGATATGTTCTTGTTTGTCTCCTTGTGATAGCGCGGAACTGATGTCGGTAATGCCGAAGACACCTAGCAGGACATAAGACACCCTGACAAAGAGATAATAATACCCCCTAAAAAAGGCTGAGGTTGGGTTATAATAAAAACACGATAAGTCTTACATGAAACGTACACAACCGAACATGTGACTGGGAAAATGACAGACAAACAAACAAAAATAACATTATTGTGAATAAGTTTAATGTGGTTGAATATGATGCAATTATAATATCAAAAACGGTAAAGATGAGTACCCGGACGAAGTCAACTGTGCCTTTTTGCAAGGAACGCCCTTCTTGTAGATTTTCAACTAGTTAAGGCACCCTTACATACATGTAGATGAACGCCGCTCGCATCGCTTAACGGTATCATCCCACTGGAGACCAACTGGACAGTCCCTCAAAGTAGCGCCGTTTACGGAGCAGGTCACATATTTACTGCAGTCCATACAGGCCTGAAAGTCTCCTTCTTCCGTACCGCATTCCATCACGTTGTGAATGCAACGTCCTACAAAGTTTAAGTAGAATCGTTTAAATTCTCCAAAACTTTGTTTAATATAACAACATAATTATAAAACATGAACATACCATAAAATACTGTCGGCTGTACAAAAACACCACGTCCATAATTCGCTTGGAGAAAATTTGAACTCAATATTGATACTAAACTGTCTAAATTTGACCTAATATTAGCCGATTTGACCTAATATTAGCCGATTTCGATCAATTATCTATTCAATTCCTTTGATACCTTGCTAAACAGGAAACAAGCACATGCATTTTCAACTTGTTAAACTGGAACAGACTTATTGCATAACGCATGACATTTAACAATGAATATTAATAATTAAATGCTGTAAAATGTATTTGAGATGTTCATTAAATGAACCAGACCAGGACATTTACAGGAACTTTGAAGACACCAAAACAACAGGAAAGACGTCATAATTATGCGTTCACTTAATATTTACGACTGTGTTGCCATGTTCAGCATTTAGACTGGTTTACCGACAAAAGTATTTGGCCCTGTCTTCAGTTTCGGCTGTCTTTCCTTACCAATATTAAGTTACATTGACGGTTGGTGCCGACACTGCGTCTATATTCCAATTTACGTCATTATTTTATTAAGCATGCCAACAGATCGGTTAAAATATCAATGAAGAACGCAGACTGTTTTCTTCGCCTTCCTTAACCAGTTGATACACACAATTATAGTCATTATCGATCAGTCTTCATAATGAAGATGTTTCGATCCAAGATTGTATCAAAGTTCGATTATACAATATCGAAGTTTTACTTTCTACACAAACAATGTACGTATCAAATGTTCACCACGTTTCAATGCCGACTGGTCCCTTCGTCAAGCTATCGCAAGCTCAGCGCGACATAGGGACCTATTGGTCTTGAAACGTTGTGACACGTTTAATACGTACATTGTTTGTGTAGAAAGTAAAACTGTGATATTTCATATTTCCAAACTGATAATTCCTATTGAAGATATTCGAATATGCGAGTCTTTGATATTCGGGTCATCTTAACTACATGTTACATAGTTACGTTTGATTAGTGAGCGAGTTATTGCTTATTCAATTAGTTATTTTAGCTCCATAGAGAACAATTACCAATAATAAACAGATAGCATTATTACTTACCGGCATGGACCACGGGTCCGACAACAGGTGAGTCTGTGAAGGTTGGTTGTAAGGTTGGCGCCAAGGTTGGAACAGCCATTCGGCAAGCACCAAAGGCGTTTACCGTGGGAAAGGGCATCTCGTAGGTACACGTCAAAGTTCTGAACATGATGCTTGAATCTGCTACGAATCCATTTTCACAGGACGCGGTGCATGTCCTACCAAAGTAATGTACATCTCTCAGAAAATATCAATTATTGTCGCTTTTGTAAATGATGCCAATTTTAGTTCTACTTTGACGAACGTACGACACACAAATGGGATTACACTGTTAACATTTATTAATTGATTAACAGTATGCCAATTAAACTGTTTACATTTACTAATTGATTAACAGTCAAAAATGATGTGTTGCACCATACCGCTGATTGGTCCCTCTGGGACGCTAGAGGCCAAAAAAGCAGGAAAACACAATTTGTCTAGACTACTGTTAATACAAAAGGGGTAAGGACACGTAACACCCCTTAATCATTAGAATAAAAAAATACGGGAGAACTGATTAATTAATATGTATAGATAGGATACCATATTGTAATAACATTATGTCACTCTAATCTTGATTAACACTACATGCATATTTTGTTATCATTATCAGTAACTAAAAAACCCAAAGTGCATATTGGTTCATAATGTGTGAACCGCTTTGAGACGACCTACAAACTAGGTTGTGATAAAGCGGTATATACTATATATGCACCCCGACTTTACAATGTGTGTCTAACATGTATCTATATAACTTGACGCGAGCCTCCATGCATAAACTGATCTTTCGAATCTGATTATTTAATGTTTCATTGGAAAATGGTGTTTGTGGTTCTATAACACAATTTGCTATTGTGATAGTTATCAGCAATAGCCATTCAACTTTATAAGAATTGAACGGCCTTTGAACAATGAACAATGAAAATATGTCGTCCAATTCGTATGTTATTGACCTAAACAAAGATGTGACTTATACATGTTTTTTCGATATCAAAATGTCTGTGTCGTTATTACAAACGAGATTCCTGAAACAGTTGTGTTCTTCTAACCGTTGTCTCTTGTTAAACGAGACGGAAGGAGAAACTATTAAATGACGCTGATCCAATTGCCTTCATAGCTATATGAATAACGACAAATCAGATAATTTTGAAAATGTGTTAATATCTCTAAACATGCAAAGCCAGCTTTATTGTATCATATATGTATATCACCGTGTGGCTTGATCCACTCTGTATCATATATGTATATTGCCGTGTGGCTTGATCCACTCTGTATCATATATGTATATCGCCGTGTGGCTTGATCCACTCTGTATCATATATGTATATCGCCGTGTGGCTTGATCTACTCTGTATCATATATGTATATCGCCGTGTGGCTTGATCTACTCTGTATCATATATGTATATCGCCGTGTGGCTTGATCTACTCTGTATCATATATGTATATCGCCGTGTGGCTTGATCTACTCTGTATCATATATGTATATCGCCGTGTGGCTTGATCTACTCTGTATCATATATGTATATCGCCGTGTGGCTTGATCTACTCTGTATCATATATGTATATCGCCGTGTGGCTTGATCTACTCTGTATCATATATGTATATCGCCGTGTGGCTTGATCTACTCTGTATCATATATGTATATCGCCGTGTGGCTTGATCTACTCTGTATCATATATGTATATCGCCGTGTGGCTTGATCTACTCTGTATCATATATGTATATCGCCGTGTGGCTTGATCTACTCTGTATCATATATGTATATCGCCGTGTGGCTTGATCTACTCTGTATCATATATGTATATCGCCGTGTGGCTTGATCTACTCTGTATCATATATGTATATCGCCGTGTGGCTTGATCTACTCTGTATCATATATGTATATCGCCGTGTGGCTTGATCTACTCTGTATCATATATGTATATCGCCGTGTGACTTGATCTACTCACATGTTGGTAGGGTTGTATTCGCAGTACACGCGACCATTTACGGGAGCGTCCACTGGCTGACACATGGTGATCAGGGTTGGGTCTGTGAATAAAGCAGCACTATTTACCACGGGCACTTAATGTTGTAGGAATTACAGAATTACATTACAGTTATAAACGACCCGGATGTTCAATGCCTGAATCACATAATGACCCAATACCAACCTCAAAATGCCATGGTTTTCGATAACTTGAGTTTGGTGCAGAGAACGTCATTGATTATTAATTACCATTGGAGTTTTGAGGATTGCGAGAAAATCTCCATCCAGTATATGTTAAAAATGTTAAGCTCAATAAGAAAGATGATAATATATAGATATCTAAAATGATTACCTGCAGTACGGAATCAGAACATTACTGTAAATTTTCAGTTATATATCTAAAAAAATGCATTTCGATATTTGCTATAACAACTCTTAAAACTTAACGGGCATTGGAGAAACAATTCAACGGAAACAATCCTACTCGAGAGACAACCGTTATTAAGAGACCACGTGTTTTAAGAGACCACGTGTGTTGATAGACCACGTGTTTTAAGAGACCACGTGTTTTAAGAGACCACGTGTATTGATAGACCACTTTTAAAATGTCATTGCAGTTATTTGCATAATAATTAATTGAAACAGTGTTAGGATCTGCAATAAGGTATGTCATTGTATAAACACCCCGAACATAAAGGTGGTCTCTCAATACAGGTTTGACTGTGAAATACAGTGTACATCAAGTCATTCATCCTCGAAATCCCTGGGGTTACACTCGCTTTCGTTCTCTGTACGTACATGTAAGAGAACGTAAGCCCTGCGATTTCCAAAATGCAAGACATTCTAATGAATATTTATTTGTCAGTTTTTAACTATATCATTTTTGAAATATATATGTTTTATTGTAAAACCATTGATTATAACAAAGTGTTGAACATTTTTTCTGTAATCGGTTTGTACTAAATAAGTCATTTTCTTGTTTAAATGTTACTTACTTGTGAAAAGAGGTTCTCCCAGGAGGTCAAAGGGCATTGCACATGCCGTCAGCACTAAAGCAAATCCTGAAAATATATAGAAAGGAAAACAATTAACTCAAAGAAAGATAAATTTAATTCATTAGGATATGTCTTTCGAAGGTAGTAGGTCATTCAGAATAAAATTGTGTTTGTAGAAATTACACAATAGAATATCGTTATACTGCCTTCATTTGTCCAGCAAAATAAACGGCAAAAGGGGGTTATAAGATATCGACAGAAACATATAAAGGAAATGTTAAGATAAAAAGGAAGAAGGGTATTGATTATAAGACTCTTTCATGCCCGGGTTTTAAAGCTAGGGAAAACTGACATGAGGGGTTTCAAATTGGGTAAACCCCGAGGTTTGCTGAAAGTTTGGCACCAATTTGAAAATCCCGACGGTGGAATTTCCCTATACTACATACGCCGCTTGGCATGAAAGAGTATCTTCTACTCATTCCAAGCATCAGAATTAGCTCAGAAACCACACAAAGGAGACGCCAATTTCCACATTGCGGCATCGGTAATGCTCCCTATTCCATGACACCGGGTTACTGTTGTCCCACTGTGGCCTCAAGGCCGTGGAATGGGGTGCAAGATAGCCTGCTTTCTTACCCAGGACAATTCGGTCATACACGCACAGGAATGAGAGGAATATCGTGTCGGCGCACTCGTGAAAATATCAAAATATTACCCACATGAGTGAAATATATCTGTTATTACTGAACACACCATTCAATTTTCTATTTATTACATTTTGAAAGGCCCCCTTGTTGTATACTTTAACATACAATTTTATTTACCAAAAGCATAAAACATGAAAAATATAATGCATTGAAAATTAGCGCCATATTCTAATGACGTCACGCTTGACAACACGGCTGCGCGTCATTTTGAAAGGGATACTCAACGTAATTATGACGTTTTCTGCTATTTTCTGGTATGATTGCTTATACATTTTTTCATTAAATGTATATTTAGATTAATACTTAAGTGCGTGTACCAAACATTAACCATCACAACCACTAATCTACCGTCGCCTCATTTGAATCTGAACAAAAATTCGTTGCCTTTGAATGCAGCGAATGGAAGATGTCTTTTTAAATTGAATTATAAAAGATAACCATCATTATTTTGATGTTATATGGCAACATATATACCGTATAACCCCAAACATAATCATAAACACATACTATTGAAACAACTAGCCTCTCTTTGCTTGAAATTAGAGAAAAAATATATCTAGTAGTACGAGATAATTTTAAAAATCATAACATAATATTTCGGTAGCGCTACAATAATATTTCGGTAGCGCTACAACAATATTTCGGTAGCGCTACAATAATATTTCGGTAGCGCAACAAAGATATATTAACCGTACCAATCGTGGTCCACCTTATGTTGCTTACGACAAAGAATTTCGTTATCAAATTAATGATTTTAGTGTTAGAGCTATTAGAGAGGAACGTTCTTGCATCATTTATTACTATTAAAAATCCTATCCCAATATGTGTTATAGGCGTATAATGATTAGAAAAAACTGCTGAAAGTTCAAGTTAAATATTTTTTCTCATATTCTTGCATAAATATACTATTTTTCTAGTGTAAATTGGTAGCGTATCTCCATTATACCGTGTATCGGTAGGAAGTAAGAATTTAGCATGTAGCCTAGCTAATTCCTAATATTGCAATTTTGCAGATATTAACAACATATAAACATTTCATATTATATACTGCTATACAATTTGAATAGCGCGTTAAATTTTACCAGACAGTAATAGCTTATCTTAACATATTTATTTTTGTATTTGTTTATTTATCTATTTATGTTATTCTCGAAAATGATATATATCATGCATGGCAATTACTGAAGACCGATATAATTTATATTTCTTACCCCAATAATCAAATGTTTACCTTAATTGATTTGACCTACTTTTGCAGTTAATGGAAATAAATTTCAACTTGATGGAAAAAATACATTTTTTGAACAATGAGTCAATATATAAGATAGGTGTACAAACCAGTAAGAGCTGTGAGTGTGTTCATGGTGATGCTTGTCCGTCTGGGAGTGTCCGAGTGTCGAAGGGTACTGGCGGAGATGTGACGGGCCAGGGATAAAAGTGCGCGACCTTATCTTGTCAAGTATCTGACATCGGTCCCTAATCGGGCGAAATGTCCCGATGACCAAAATTCTCCTATCTCGCTCCAGAAAGTCAGGTGTCCGATGATAAGGCACGCGGTATTAGCAATGTTACGAGTTTTCTGACCCCCCTTCAATAGACCTGGCTTCTGTCGTAGAGAAACGTTAACGCTGCCTTACTTTCGTCTCGAGCCTTCAGTAATATCATTCTGGTCTAATCAAGATAAGATAAATGCATTCTATATAATGGCGGCGGTCCCACAATATTTTGGGAACTTAAAATTCTGCGACACAAGTTATGAAACGAAGTCTATCATAATTTGATAACTTTCTATCCCAAACCGGTTCGCAGCTTTTCGGTTTGTTTCCCATGACGTATTCCTAAAAAGGACATAAATGCCAAGAATTAAGACAGATAATTCAAACGTTTTTTGTTGCATGGCCAAAAACTTTTTTTCTGACTTTGGAATTTCTTATACAATAAATATACAGGAAAGAATCCGTGCTGAAAACATTGTTCTTATATGGTTTCAAATGCTTACAAAATTTCAGAACTTTTAATGATCAGTTACAAAACAATGTCACGTTTAACTCCTCAGTAGTTTCACCTGTAATAGTATTTCTATACCTGTAGTTAACTGTGCTGATTGAGCGTTCAGAATAAAAGTACACGTATTAATTTGCCTACACGGGCTTTCACCATAGACCCATTAAATCTATATTTGTTCATCCCCGATCATTTCATTAGTCACAGCAACATATTTGAGGATAACAACTTATGGACACCAATCAGTGATGCATCGAACTTCTCTATGTAGTACCTCTTTCTAAAGAAACCGGAATATCTCAAAGGCATCACTCTAACGTGAAAAATAGTCGTTGTCATTAATGTTCTGAATCATTTTAAGCATCTGAAACCATATTGGAACAAGTGATCTTATAGGTAATTCATAGAGAAATGAGAGACAAAAAACGAGACAGATGATAAACAAGTCTAGGTCAAGAGATGGAGAAATCAGTGTTATAAGGATTATGAAAAGTGAAAAGCCGAATTCAGACCGTCTTAAAGGCTATATAGCTAGCGTTCAATAAATCGACCGATCAGCGAACTAGTTCAGAAATAGATGTGGCAACTTTTCAAAAACAAAAACAAAAATATGAAAACAAGAAGCGGTCAGTCAGAACTGAAAAATAAATATCAAACGTTTAATGAAACTTAATATATTATATAAATATAGGCAAAGCATTTGAGAATATTTCTCAATAATGTTTTAATGACATATGTTCAGAATTTCTCTGAATAGCTTATTCGTTAGAGCGTATCCGACTCCCGGCGGTGGCATTGACAAAATAATGACCTCTGTTACACTTCATTTTGAAAACAATCTTGTTGAGATTGAAAGTGGTGTATGCGTAGAGAAAAATTACGTTTTTTTTTCGCGAAGTTGAGCACTTATATAAATGAGGTGTTGTCTGTGTGCACTCCCCTATAGGGAGTCCTGGGGCATTCCATAGCCCCCAACTATCGGGGACATCATTAAAGTCTTAAAGCACTAGATTGTGCCATCCGACATATTTCAGAGTGCATTTATAATTTATTTGAATTGATTATATAGAAACTGTCTTCTGAAAACATGCTTAAAAATAAAACAACAATTTTCAGAGTGATTTTTAAGTATTACTGAGCAGGGACGCATAGTCTATATACTGTCCCTGTACTGAGTAAAGTGTTTTTTTTATTTATTTATTGCGAACTTTAACGAAAATAATTCTAAACCAATTTGCAATATATTCAATGCATTGTCAAGTTTCGTATTGGTAACAAAACACAGATAAAGGTTGAAGACCAAGGAAAACAAAAAGGTATGCAGTCTATTTTAATGTTTTAAAATCCGGAAATATAGCCCGGTATTTCGTGTAAGGTTTTACAATATTTGTTCGTACATCCGGTAGTATTTCACTTTCGTGAGAAAAAGTGTGTAAATATGGTTTGTTGATGTATTGAATGTTTAGTACATCATGTCATCGAATGTGCCGCTGGATAAACTCCAAGTAAAAGTTGAAATTTCTAAAAACAAGACGGAGAATGTCCCGGCTTTGGTAAGACATACAAAAACGTGTATAAATACACGAGATTCAGGGTAGTACTAATATTAGGTGTTCGTCAGAAAGGTCTAAAATACACATATATGCTATAGGACCGTCAGTATAGTGTAACAGGAGAAAGAGAAAATATAATGGCCAGACCGTGGGTCGAACCTGGGACCATCCGAAACTTAGACGGACGCTCTACCAATTGAGTAGCCGGAGTTTCCTCTGGCCCTAACACCTGTGCCCAGACTTAGACATATAGATGTCTGGTGTGGGGACAGAGCGCACTGCTATATGAAAAATTTAGATCATGCAATATATGTTGCTGATCACTAAGACTACAAAATATAATGTGGCAGATTACAGTCACCTTCTGCCTTTGAGCTGCACGGAATTTCCTTTAGCTCATGATCAGTGGTAGAGCGTCCGACAGGAACATAGGGATCAATTGTGGGTTCGATCCCCAGTGGAAGCACATTATTCGCTTTCCTGTTACAAATGGTGACCGTTGCACTCCCTGTGGTGACGGTGAGTTGGAACCTGGGTTGTGGTGTTCGAGGGTGAACACATTTAAAAAGGGGGGAGTAGTGAGTCAGATTTGAATTGTACATTAGGATTACGGTCGCCATAGTAAATTAGTATTTAATGTTATTAATAATATTACTGAAAATTAAAGAAAAAATTCTGAGTGAAAAAAAAATCATTTAGTTTAATCAATAGAGCATTTGGAGTAGAGATTTATTCACCTAAATCAACTCTTAGAGAAAACATTTTGAGAAAATACTAAAAGACACTCTAAAATATGTTGTATGGCACCATCAGATGATCTAGTGCTTTAAGACTTCCCTGACTACATATCACACAGTACACTAAGACTTTTTGCACACGACAGCATACTATACAAACAATCAACAACAAAGACGACACAACAAAACTACAAACAGATTTAGATGCAGCTAGTAAATGGGAAGAGGGCTAGCTCATGAAATTCCACCCAGACAAATGCACCATACTTACTATATCACCAAAACGCACACAAATTAAACACCAATACACACTCCATGACCACACACTAGAATCTGTAACTTCAAACAAATATCTAGGCATCACACTTCAAAACAACTTAAAATGGGACAAAACACACAGAACAAGAACATGCCTTATTATTCTCTACAAAATAATTCACCAACAAGTAGCAATACACACAAACAATCTCATGCCGGCAGACACCAAAACATGTCAAGGACACGACCTTAATTACAGACATATCTATGCATCCAAAGACACATACAGACACTCATTCTTTCCATACACCATAATACAATGGAACCTCCTATCCAAAACAATTATCCAATCAGAAACACTAGCAGAACTCAGGACATGCACCACATATAACATAATCGAACATATACAAAAACTACAACATAACTAACACTCACTCACTGCTTTTAACCTGTTTTTATCCTATAGCAAATAATAAAAAATAAAATAAAAAATCACTGTACATAATAGCGCACTACAGCACAAGACCCAAACTACAAAACTCCTTAATCGTCGATATTGACGGAGGAAGTTTCATGAATGAAGATGAAGAAAGAAATTTCCCATTATTTGTAGTATCTTAAGTAACAGTACAATTTATTTATGCCTGTTTCATTTCCCAGCATCCTCGCTGGGTACAGAAGATCCAGTTCCTGAAATACCATGCTCCACCGCTGGACGTCGGTGACCGGGGTCAGTGTGAGGAGTGGGGAGACCGCCTTAAGTTCATTGAAGAAGATCTTCACTGGGCTCTTCAGCTGCCACATGACAAATTTTGGTGCCAGGTATTGGTGATCAGATGATATCTGAACTTTTGTGTCCTATTTATTTGGGCCAATGCAAGTGTTTTCATCATTTTTAAACAAAGACTGTTAAAGTAATGATATATCTGCTACATCAAAATCAAACTTACATAAAATGATCATTAAAAAGTGTTTGTCTACCTCATTTAAATATTCTAGTCTTTTCACAGCTTTTTATACTGAAAACACAAATATTTTAGCCTTTCTGTTTGTACTCTCAGTTTTCTAGCTAGCAACTGGTTGAGATGATTCCAGCTTTATTGTATGCATTGTTTCTATTGTGTCATTGAAATATTGACATGTTAGCATTATAGTTAGCGTTTAATCAAGGGTGATTTTAAAAGATTGATGAATGCATACTTCAGCTCAAAAAGGGCAAACAATATGTCATCCTGGTAGAATATACGCTGCTTCTTATAATTACCTTCTTGACTAGGGAGAATTTTTGTTGAGCTCATTCGGTAGAGTGTAAGACTTGTACTAGTAAGCCAGAGGTACTTGGTTTGAATCCTGGCAGAGGCATTGACAAAAAAATTATCTCTGTTTCAAATACCTGCACATGATCTAGATCTTTCAATGAAATTTGAAATACATAAAAAACTTTTGTTTTTTCAGATTGTGTTCGATGAAACTTTCATTACCCTGATAGACAGCTATCTGCGCTACGCCCCAAGGACACATGATGTCCTGATTGAACTTCCTGCGGACACAAAGTCTCGCCACGACGAGGTTCACCGGCTTATGTTTATGACATGCCTTCGTATGGCCACACACAAGGAATCCAAGGTAACAACAGAAAGAGTGATATGCATCTTTTGTATCCTGTGGTACAAATTTTGTTTGCAGTTTTTCAGTATGATTTTACTAACGTGCCGATGCATCAATAGCAAAACTGCTTCGATCACAGTGGATTTTTTTTTCTTACAAAAACTACTGAAATTTCCAATCAGTTATGCATGAGTTGACTGATAATTGAGAATTTGTAAACACATGAAAGTTCAAATTATAAGTTTCAAGCTAAATTTTTTTCAAAAATGAATCTTCCAGGGTCTTTTACGGATATGCCTCCTCTTTCACAGTTGTTAGATGTTTTAGTACATACATGTATCTTACGTAAAGTACCAATGCCAATGTTCACCAGATGAGTTGGGTAGAAGATTATCTTGTGAGTGAATAGAGGACACAAATATAATCTGATCATATATAAAATAGGATGCTTCAACAGATAGCCCTAATCAAGGGTGATTTTTAACTTGGGTGAATCACTAACAATTCTAGTGATAAACTTATATGTCTGGTCAGGTTTATGCCTGCACCAATACACTTCTATTTATTTTAAGATAAAATAATTGATGCATACAGAAAATGACGTGTTATAAACAAATATTTTCCAAAGTTGAAATCTTTTTCTATAAACAATTTTTAATGTTTCATTGAAATTATTTGAATGATTTTGGATACTTAAGTTTCTTCAAAGGTTTGGAACTGTATTTTCTAAGTTCCCTGATAATGCCATCTTGTAATATCTTAATAATAAGGAATTGTTGGCTCAGTTTATATGACTATGGAATCAATGTAGTTGATCTATGTTTCATCATCACTGGTTTTCATTTTTATGTGCACTCTTTTGTGGCCTTTTAGATTGTTTTGAATGGTGTTACAGGAACATCACATCACTCCCAGTGTGTTTGGTGACATCCTGTATGAGAACTTCCTGTTTGACGTCCCCAAACTGCTGGATCTGTGTGTGTTATATGGACAGGGTAACAGCCAGCTACTACACAAGATGATTGAGAACGTATTCACCAACCAGCCTAAATACAACGACGACCTACACAGCACAATACCGACAATCTTACAGGTAATCATACTCATATTTATTCAGGATAAAGGCATACACTACAAAACAATTTGAAATAAGAGTTGATATCTATAATTCATAAATTTTGCCTTACTCTAGCTCGGATAGCCCAGATAGAAAGCTTACTTCAAATGGGGTCCCTGATCCAAAGTAGAAGATAAGATTAAAGGGCTTTTAAGAGCTTTCTCTGTGTAAATGGGGAGAAAACTCATATTGTCAGTTAGGAAAAATGTAAATTTATTTGCTGTCAGTCAAGAAAATCATTGATGTGTTGGCTTGGTGACTGTCAGGTAACTCATTCACCCCTGAAATTTCATAATGAATTATTCCAACCTTTGAATTGGAAGAGCTCAAAAGTGTCTTCACAGATGATTTAGTGAAAACCAACATACAGTGTACTCCACTGATTTAATACTTGTTTGCTCTTTATTTGTATTCAAAAGGCTGCTCATTTTCTGGCCTTTCCCCCCAAAAAAAACATCCCTATCTTTTTGGGGGTGGGGGGTGTCATAATTTATTATCCATGTTTTGATTCCCTGCCTTTTCTGTGCAAATTATTAATAAAATCCTTTCAATAAATTCTGGTGTCCTGAAGGGAGATAGATGTTTTATTGAAGAGAGTGCATTCTTTCTGTACAATAACCTTAACAAGGTATTCACTAAAGAATATGTATGACTTAGTTGAACACAATCAGTCTTGAAAGAGCTTCTTACTTATATATGTGTTTTAACGCTAGTTTAAAACATAGTTATGAGCATTCGGAATCATTGTGTTTGATTTGTTCAGGAGAGATGGATATCTTCATACAGAATTTTGATAAATGGTATGAAATGTAGCAATTGCTATAAGTTATTTGAATGTTGTGTAGAATTTAATGTTTAGAGATTTCTCATTTTTTTTGTAATGACAGGTTTTTGACAATATTCGAGCCAAGTGTGGTCTGGCAGATGGGAGTGGCTTGACCCCTAAGAAACTGACCAAACCTAGCCAGGAACTGTCAGAACTGGGCACTATGTCGATGGCCGACTTTCAGGATGTGGTGTTTTACCTGGCGGACACAGGAACCACACTGGCCTGTTTTTTGGATGTCTACCCTCCGGCCTGCGGTCTGTTTCACAAGGAAGATTTTGTACACCAGTAAGTCAAATTAAACTTTAAAGCAGTTGTACAGGTTACCCAATTAATTGAATGTATTGTAATTAAACTAGAGGAATTGAAATTAATTAATTTAATAGTTACAATTGCTCGAGAAAGTACAATGTGAACATCCTCATTATGATGTTATAATTTAGGTGTTTTATTTGACAGGATGTGATAACTGGACATCTATAGACTGTGATAACAAGATAATGTACTTGTTTAAATCTTTCTTATTTAATAGCACTTATAGGTTTTTATTTTCATGTCATAGGATTTGAAGTACTCAAGATTAACATAATCTCTCACCCACTTGGGGTGAGATGGGGAATCTCAACCCGAGGGGGAAGATTCCTAAGTTGCCAAACACGAGGCTTTGTACAAGGGGGTGAATGATTCTTTTAATATTACCCTGTTCTCCTATTGTGAATCAATTACACAATGATAACGTTACATGCTAAATTCAGGGTTGACGTGACGTTGATAGATTGTTGACGTGACATCATATTGTATTGTTGAGTCATACCATTGTTATGAATAGGGGAATCTCCCATTCCTAACCCTATGGTGAGACAAGGAAATATCACAATGGTAAAAGTGCGGGTACACCTGTCCAGGGAAAGAGAATATTTTTTCTCACACATTTCACAGATGCCTTCTCAGGTGTTAACTAAGGAAAAGTCATGTAACGTTGATAAGGGGACAGTACACTCGATTCACCATTACAAATCCTTTTTTACAGTAAGAAATTAAAGTTTGGGAGAAAATAATCAATCACTCACGTGTGGTCCAGATACAAAAATTACGACCCCCATGATGGCTTTTTGAAGTCTGTCAAAGCCTTTTCCTGACCTTTAAAAGTCTTACATTTTGGTTAAGATATCTTTTTCTCCCACCCTTCATAGAGGTGTCTCACGTTTTAGCCAGGAAAGATCAGCCTGTCACCCCCTAAGGGGAAATAGCCTCGTGTGATTAGCACATGTTCATTTGTGACATCATTGAAATGTGTCACCGGAAATTGTGATGTCATCAAAAGTGAATGACAATATTTATACCCCACTTGTGTTTTTGTTTACAAACAGACTACTGTCAGTGAAGTTGTGACTGAAAAAATAGGTTGGGAGAAAAATAATCATCCCCTACAGAGCCTCGGGTTAGACAACCAAAGAAAATCTCCCCTCAGGTTGGAGATTTCTCTGTCACACTCTCAAGATAGGGGAAGATTCTATTAGTCCACATCACACAGAATTCATAGACTCTATAATTTGTTGTCTTTAAGGAATCATTTGGACACAAATTGACGAAGTTTGTAGTTTTAAACATGAATCGTTTCTCTAATACAGACTTGCCATCCTGTATGAATCTGTGATCCCTGAAGTTGTTTCCACTATCAAGAAACGGACATTTGACAGCCACAGGTATGAGATACATAAACTGTACAGACATGCTTATTAAGGGGAACCTCAGTTCAAAGAATATAATCTCTTAAATCATTCTTACGATTGAAAATTTTGCTTTGGCATGGCATCATATATGCATGGACAGATGTCATAAAAGAGGGAGGTGTTGCATGGCGACCCACGCCCAATTTAATTTTTGTGAGCACAACTTCATTAACTGGCATGAAATATATATCAAAACAATGTTTATTCCTCAAATACAACTAATTGGTGACTGCAGCGCCCCCTACATTGATTTTCAGGTTCCCCAGGACACAATGTGCCTTTCATACAATATTGTTTTTTTTCATTGTTAAATGGCACTTTCAATACCTTTAAAAAAAAAGTCCAAAAATGAAAAGTAATTTTTTGGGGGCAGATTGATATGTTTTATAATTATTTGCAAAAAAGTGATATATTACATAAGACCAATTACATTTGTATATATATATCATTTTAAAGGTAATTGTATATGTTACTTAAATATGCAAGCAGATTGTAATTATGTTTTTGTTATCGCCACACTGATCCCATTAAAGGCCATTGGGGAGGTAAAAAAAATTGAACTTCAGTGTAGGGGGCGCTGCAGTCACACTTATGGTCCAGATGATGTTTAGGTCTTGTTTTAAAAAGTGATTTATTCAAATTTATTTATTTACACTAAAACATCCAATATTTATCTTGGGGTGATATTCACCTGCTATGCAACACCTTTAACTTTTAAAATAAAATAAAATATATTACAACAGATTTCTGAACTTTATAACCTTAATCAATTTTCAAACGCAAACTTTCACATAACGCTCTGCAAATATTCACATTTAACATAATCATGCCATGTGTAATATACTATTTTAAGCCACAAGATGCTGTTGAGGCAGAAGACACAGGAAGCCAAGAGTTCTCTGTTAAAGGTTGTGCATTTGATCGTAAATACCTGCTGTATACAACCAATACTGGAAAATGTGTGAGTAACTTAATGCTGTCTGAAACTCTTACTGTACTTAGTATAAACTTGATTTGAAAATCGTAATACATAATAAGAATTATATAACTATATAAATGAAAAAGGATCCGGGAACAAATCTTATTATTATCAATCTGTACTTACTGTATTTAGTAATGAAGTTTATTTCTTTCCTTTTAAGCATAATAATGCATATATACTTAGATATATAAATGGAAAAGGATCTGGAAACACGTTTTGAAAAAGTTACATTAACCTGTACTTACTGCATTAATATGTACTTGCAATGTACTGTTTTTTAGAATAAACTTTAATTCTTTCATTTTAAAAACAATGATACATAAACAATTAGACATATAATAGGAAAAGGGTCTAGAAACAATTTTCCTAAACTTATTTTAATCTGTACTCACTGTATTTGTTGTAACAAGTGTCCAGGGCTCCTAGCAATAGGGAAAAACAAATTGATCGCAGTCCTTCAATTTAAAAAACATAGATTGGACACTCAATCCAAATAAATGATACATGTTTTTTTACAGTGGTGCTGAAGACAGAGTGGAAGATCTAATACACTTGTTTACGTCAATGCTGAATGAGAGAAGGTGAGACCTGCAGTGAGGTAGAAACATTTTAAACTAAGTACACATGTCCAGTGGAAAGTGCAATCACCTTTCGCCAAGACAGTCAGGATACGATTCCTCGATCTGACGTAAAAATGTATCGGGTCACATGCCAAACCACATGGGTTTTCTCCAGCCATCCCAGTTTCCTCCCAAGTGAAGATCTCCTGTGGGCTAACATCTGGGTCAACAAGAGTAATTGATATAAGTTCAGATAGCTTGTTTCATAATTGCTGTGATATAAATAGCATACAAAGACTTCAAGTACACATTTTAAAGGATTCAGAATTTGACTTTCCCAACCAAGTCACCCCTTGTTATTCATTCAAATCTTACATTTTACTACTTTTGTCAGTGTTGATCTTTCACATACAAGTAATTCTATTGTATAGAACTGTAAACAAAAAGCTAGTGTAAATCTTCAAGTTTTGGATTATTGGAATGAAACATGTTAGATGTAATGCCTACTATTTTTTAGTGTTTTTTTTCAAAGTATTTGACCTTGTCATGAATTTGCTCTTAGTTGTTTGGATGTGTAGCACTATATGATTTTCATTTTAGGTTTCTGGCTGACTTTGAGAGTCATCATCGATTTGAAAACTACCAGGACATACTACTGCAGGCACCCATAGAAATGTATCCTTTATCTTCTTCTCATATCGTATACAGTAAAACCCTGATATAATATTCCTCGCTTCATTTGGCGCCTTGTTTTCATAAGATTCCTCTATGCTTTTCCCTCAAATTATCGCCAAACCGTTTTATAACACATAAATTTCTCTGGAAATATGGTGGCAGTATAACAAGGTTTTAGTGTATAGAAGTACAACGTCAACGTCTTAAAGCTAAACAGAGGGTTATCTCCCTTTGTTCACATTTCTAAGGAAGGCCGGAGGTTTTGCACATCATGAGGTTGCTGCAAAATATCACCTTGTTTGTAATACATTGAAATATAACTAAATCATCACAGGCACATAAAACCATAAATGGTTGTATTTCTGTTACTGAAACTGTCAATATATAACAATTACTTTATGTAAAATATAAGTTATATTGCTTTATATAGTCTCAGTAAATATTTAGGACAAAAAAAATGTGTGTTTCACATAACGTGACTGAAAAATAGCTATAGGGAAGTCATAAGGAATGGGTTTTTTTGGGGGGAAGGGGGCTTATTTAAGCAATTAAAGAAATTACCAAACAGTTATTTAGACTAAATGTATTCATTTTTCATTGTATTTTTAAATATTCATAAGGGATTTAAATTTTGTTTGGATACCTACCTATGAGAAAGAGATTATACATGGTCCTGACTCTGCCTTAAGGGAAGAAATTGTATAACTTCTTTGCCACAGAATTGACTATAATACAATTTAAGGAATGAAAATTATTTTTTCAATACTCATGAGGTCATAACACAACCATATATCCATAGTGATAACATAGGGCTAAACTACCGCAGGGAAAATCTGTATTTTAACGATGAATGGTGGAGTTGAACTGGGCAAAACCTTACCATTGGTCAGTACGTTTTGTTTGACCCTTGACCTCTGCCAGTGATGAAATGAGATTGCAGTACATACAGGATGCCATCAGTTCAGCCTTCACTACTCATGGTCGTCGCCGGAAACCAACCGGGGGCACGAAAAGAGGGGGTAGGACAAGTCCAGATGGGTCTCCAGCGCCAATGGAGGATACATGTGCTGTTGGGGGTGGAGCTACATCCGGAGTAATGGGCGGAGCTACAGGTGGCGCCACAGGTAGATCTACAGCTGAATCAGAGAGTACAGGATATGGTGACGACTCCCAGGTAGAACATTATGTAAGTTGATGATTCTTACAGTACTTATTAAGTTGAGTCTTTTATATTACAAATACTGACTACAAGACTGTTTGATGATACCATTTTACTTTATTAAAATCTATTTAAGGGCTTTTACATTTCAATCAATCAGACTGGGGAAAGGCAGTTTTAAACTTGGGTAGTCAGCCACAGATAGAATGCCCAGAAATAGTAGAGTTTTTAGGTCACCTGAGCTTTAGCTCAAGTGACCTATTGCTATCCGTTTTCGTCCGTCGTCGTCCGTCGTCCGTCGTCCGTCGTCCGTNAGTTAACATTATACTATTTTTTACTCAAATTGGTACATATTTCAACAACAAAAATAAATACTACAGACTCAGGTGACCGTTAAGGCCCATGGGCCTCTTGTTATTCACCCTTCAACATTTTTGATGGGACATACAGCATAGGTGGTGTCTGTCAATCCGTCCACTCTTGTTCCCGCAAGACATTTTATGAAATGATATTTCGATTTTGCTGCAAGTTAGTATAAGTCCATACAATATGGACTCTTAGGCTAAATTTCAAAGATGAACAAAATGTGCCCTTAATTAATTAGCATACTGTACTGATTTGTCAACATCTACACTCTAGTTTCCATAAGATAACTTACTTTATTTACTTAAATATTGTTCAGTTTTGATGAAACACAGTAAGCATATATACAATAACTAAGGGGAAGGTAAGAAGTTGATGAAATTCATGTAAACTAGCATACTGCTCTCTATGGTCAGATCAGCTGTGACTTGTTCACAATTTATCTTACCCTGGTAGACAAGGCTAAGTTCAAATGTTAACAAAATCTGTTCATGGCATTGGAAAGGCATACTATATATAGTTCAGCCCAAATGATACTCTTGTTTCAGATGCAGATAATGAGAGAATGCTTACATTCGACCTGTCGGTAATTAAATGAAAATGTGAACAAAATCTGTGCTTGGCATTGGACTAGTATATATTTTTTCAATCAAAGAAAAGTAACTCCTGGATGGATTAACCTATACTGAACATATCACCTTATTATAGGAGGCAGCAGGGGCCTGTGCGATGCAGAAAACAGGTGTGGAGCTTGAGTCCCTCATCTCCTCTGTCAGAGACCTACTTCCTGACCTGGGGGAGGGCTTCATTGAGGTGAGTTTATATACCACAGTTGCGAATCATCTAGTCACTACTTCCTGACCTGGGGGAGGGCCTCATTGAGGTGAGTTTAGATGTCACAGTTGTGAACCATCTAGTCACTACTTCCTGACCTGGGGGAGGGATTCATTGAGGTCAGTATAGATATCACATTTGTGAACCATCTAGTCACTACTTCCTGACATGGGGAGGGCCTCATTGAGGTGAGTATAAATATCACAGTTGTGAACCATCTATAGTCACTACTTCCTGACCTGGGTGAGGGCCTCATTGAGATGAGTATAAGTATCACAGTTGTGAACCATCTAGTCACTACTTTCTGACCTGGGGGAGGGCCTCATTGAGATGAGTATAAATATCACAGTTGTGAACCATCTAGTCACTACTTCCTGACCTGGGGGAGGGCCTCATTGAGGTCAGTATAGATATCACAGTTGTGAATCAACTAGTCACTACTTCCTGACCTGAGGGAGGGCCTCATTGAGGTTAGTATAGATATCACATTTGTGAACCATCTAGTCACTACTTCCTGACCTGGGGGAGAGATTCATTGAGGTCAGTATAGATATCACATTTGTGAACCATCTAGTCACTAAATCCTGAGATGGGAAGGGCCTCATTGAGGTGAGTATAAATATCACAGTTGTGAACCATCGATAGTCACTACTTCCTGACCTGGGTGAGGGCCTCATTGAGATGAGTATAAATATCTCAGTTGTGAACCATTTAGTCACTACTTCCTGACCTGGGGGAGGGCCTCATTGAGGTTAGTATAAATATCACATTTGTGAACCATTTAGTCACTACTTCCTGACCTGGGGGAGGGATTCATTGAGATCAGTATAAATATCACATTTGTGAGCCATCTAGTCACTACTTCCTGACCTGGGGGAGAGATTCATTGAGGTCAGTATAGATATCACATTTGTGAACCATCTAGTCACGACTTTCTGACCTGGGGGAGGGCCTCATTGAGATGAGTATAAATATCACATTTGTGAACCATCTAGTCACTACATCCTGAGATGGGGAGGGCCTCATTGAGGTGAGTATAAATATCACAGTTGTGAACCATCGATAGTCACTACTTCCTGACCTGGGTGAGGGCCTCATTGAGATGAGTATAAATATCACAGTTGTGAACCATCTAGACACTACTTCCTGACCTGGGTGAGGGCCTCATTGAGGTCAGTATATATATCACAGTTGTGAATCAACTAGTCACTACTTCCTGACCTGGGGGAGGGCCTCATTGAGGTCCGTATATATATCACAGTTGTTAATCAACTAGTCACTACCTCATGACCTGGGGGAGAGCTGCATTGAGGTCAGTATATATAGATATCACAGTTGTGAACCATCCTGATTTGACTAGCTTGCAATTCCTTTCAGCTCAGTAGGCAGAGCACCAGACAAGTGATCTATAAGTCTAAGGCTCCGTAGGCAGAGCACCAGACAAGTGATCTATAAGTTTAAGGCTCCGTAGGCAGAGCACCAGACAAGTGATCTATAAGTCTAAGGCTCAGTAGACAGAGCACCAGACAAGTGATCTATAAGTCTAAGGCTCAGTAGACGGAGCACCAGACAAGTGATCTGTAAGTCTAAGACTCAGTAGACAGAGCACCAGACAAGTGATCTGTAAGTCTAAGGCTCAGTAGACAGAGCACCAGACAAGTGATCTATAAGTCTAAGGCTCAGTAGACAGAGCACCAGACAAGTGATCTGTAAGTCTAAGGCTCAGTAGACAGAGCACCAGACAAGTGATCTGTAAGTCTAAGGCTCAGTAGACAGAGCACCAGACAAGTGATCTATAAGTCTAAGGCTCAGTAGACAGAGCACCAGACAAGTGATCTGTAAGTCTAAGGCTCAGTAGGCAGAGCACCAGACAAGTGATCTATAAGTCTAAGGCTCAGTAGACAGAGCACCAGACAAGTGATCTGTAAGTCTAAGGCTCAGTAGGCAGAGCACCAGACAAGTGATCTATAAGTCTAAGGCTCAGTAGACAGAGCACCAGACAAGTGATCTGTAAGTCTAAGGCTCAGTAGACAGAGCACCAGACAAGTGATCTATAAGTCTAAGGCTCAGTAGACAGAGCACCAGACAAGTGATCTGTAAGTCTAAGGCTCAGTAGGCAGAGCACCAGACAAGTGATCTATAAGTCTAAGGCTCAGTAGACAGAGCACCAGACAAGTGATCTGTAAGTCTAAGGCTCAGTAGACAGAGCACCAGACAAGTGATCTATAAGTCTAAGGCTCAGTAGACAGAGCACCAGACAAGTGATCTGTAAGTCTAAGGCTCAGTAGGCAGAGCACCAGACAAGTGATCTATAAGTCTAAGGCTCAGTAGACAGAGCACCAGACAAGTGATCTGTAAGTCTAAGGCTCAGTAGGCAGAGCACCAGACAAGTGATCTATAAGTCTAAGGCTCAGTAGACAGAGCACCAGACAAGTGATCTGTAAGTCTAAGGCTCAGTAGGCAGAGCACCAGACAAGTGATCTATAAGTCTAAGGCTCAGTAGACAGAGCACCAGACAAGTGATCTGTAAATCTAAGGCTCAGTAGTCAGAGCACCAGACAAGTGATCTATAAGTCTAAGATTCAAAGTGAAATGGAAAAGTGGCTTCTGTTACAAAGATCTACTAAAAAAACTGTATTTATCAGTAGACAGAGCACCAGACAAGTGATCTGTAAGTCTAAGGCTCAGTAGACAGAGCACCAGACAAGTGATCTATAAGTCTAAGATTCAAAGTGAAATGGAAAAGTGGCTTCTGTTACAAAGATCTACTAAAAAAACTGTATTTAGAAGATAAGCTATTTTCTGTTGTAGTTTTTGTTTTAAATTCTGTTGCTGTAACACTGTCAGTATCTGATATCAATGTATCAGACAAGGAAAATGGATGGTTCAGTTGATTTTTGTAGATTAACCCTTTAACCACTATAGACCATATTGGACTTACCCAGATCAATGCATGGTAGAGTTAAGTGTACATAGGGCTGAAAGGGTTAAATATCTGTAAATAAGTAAGTCTATTACTTTGAATTGGATAAATTAAATCACTTTTTTAAGTAATCTAAAAAGTTGAACTGTACAACTGGTCTAATATCAGATATTTCCACTTAAATTTTTTTTTTTTAACTTGTTTATAAATTATCTTCAGTCTGTAAGATGTAAACAAGTAAAACTCAACTGACTTTTAAGAGAGTTAAGATTTACTCAAGAGAAATGCTTACAAATCTGTATGATTGGTTTTGTTCCCAGGTTTGTTTAGAAGAGATGGATTATAACCTAGAGCGTGTTATCAATGCCGTCTTGGAGGATAAACTGCCACCGTCTTTGCAGGAGTTGGACAGATCAATGCCTCGGTAAGTACAGTCGTTAGCTATATATAATTAACAAATCTAAGCACCTACATCTCCACAACAAACCAATGTTTTACCACAATCTGTTAATATTGAAAATCTCTTTTTTGTAAAGAATGTGATGATCACATTTGCAGAAAAACTCATGATTTTGTATCCAAATTATTTTCAAAATTTAATCCAAATTAGAAAAGTTGTATATTATTTTCACTGGGCTTTTGTTCCTGCTGTATGTAGGATAACTGTATCCACCGTATGCTAGAGTAGGAAGCCTCAACAGGTATATTCTCCTGCCTCAGGCAATAAGACCAAAAAGCAAGATGAAGGATTTTTTTTATTTGTAAAATAAAAACACTGAAATGAGTAATAATGGGAATTTCCCTCCAGTTAGGGAGACTTGGCAAAGTTTGTTGTTTGTTTGATATGCAGATCAATACAAGCTCTTTGTGGAATTTTTATCAATATCTGAGAGCTGCTTTGAATATCACTATACTTGACGTGTATGCAGACTTACACAAACTTATGATTTCAGAACCATGTAGACCAATTCTATAACAATTCTAAACGTAATATATAATGATTTTGTTGTGACAGGGAGGAACCCCAACAACCTGACAACAACCCAATATCGCTATTGGACGGCCGTCGTAACGTGTACGACAACGATGAATTTGACGTGTTCAGCCGTGACAGTGTAGATACATCACGTATATTCCAGGGAAAACAGTAAGTAAAGTACAGAGAACCTTTAACTGTTAAAGCGGGAATTTTCAAAGTTTCTTACCAAAATCAGCGTGAAGACGTGTAGTAATGAATATTGACACATTGTAAATGTAATGTCACACAGTAAAACACATTCACACCCCGAAATGTGTTGATACTAGGACTGAAACAATACATAAATCTTCTTGAATAATGGGGTGTTTTTTGTGTATGTCTTCCTGGTATAATACTTATCACTTCTTAGGCTAGTAGGGACCCTAGATTTGCAAGAATACCTTTGACCCCTGGAAGACTCAGGACAAGTTCTTTCCTGGAGATGGAGTATGTTACCCTGGTAAAATAGCAGAAGCTCCCTTCTAACTCGGCTAGCTATGGAGAATTTCTCTTTAACTCATTCAGTAGAGTGTAAGGCTAGTAAACCAGAGGTTTCGAGTTTGACTCCTAGCTGTGGCATTGACAAATAATAATCTCTGTTACATTGGGCCCCATGTAGGGACCCGGGAAATATTGACAAAAGTACTCGGTGATACTTTAACAAGAATTTCTATGACCACTTCCAACTACACTGTACCTCTAGTCAGCTAGAGAGAATTTCTCTTTAACTCATTCGGTAGAGCGTAAGACTAGTGAACCAGAGGTATCAGGTTCGACTCCTAGCGGAGGAAGCATAGACAAAAATAATCTCTTATACTTATTTTTGGTTTCAACAAATTTTATTGTAATTTATAATTACAAAAGGATTAGACAACAAGCAGTGCCTATATAAGTTTTCTCCTGAATACTTATCATATTGAATAGTTTTAATTGATTATATCCTGATACACTGAAATACTGAAATTTGCAATTAGTTTCTTTTTTACCGGTAACTCAGTAAATAATATTTTTTGGGGGTCTTTCAGTAAATCTGCGATCCACTATGCAGTCGTACCGGAGAGTACTAAAAATAATACAAAAATACACAAACAGTGTGCGTATTAAACATGTCGCAACGTGACACCACTGAGTAATAGCTTGACAAATGTACCAGTAAGTCTTGAAACCCTATGACACGTTTAATATGTACAAAGTAAACCTTAGATTTTATATCAAGACTAGTATTGGATCATACACATGCTGGACCGCTGTCAATAGGGACTACTCTGTGACAATAGTTCTCCTGCCCATTGGTCAACTGTCCTGTTATTTCCGAATGAATCAGTGGTGCATGTTTTATCTTTTGTCTGCTTGTTTTAAATGATATATACAGGGGCCACTTTGATGTCCCAAAGAAGATGTAAACGTAAATGGAAACAGATTACCGGTCTTAGTTATAGCACTAAAACTGCCCTCGCGAGACATGTAACGTGTTCCTTAGTGAGGGAGACGTGGACATGCCGGGTTTTAATGTCACCTGTAGGACGACAGACCAGAGCTTTAAGGCCAACACTAAAAATGTGTTTCAGGTTTCTTTGTCAATTAAGCGTTTAGCATTATAAGGTAGTTACCGATGTAGCGTTTTTTCTTCTTGTTTTTTTTTTAAAAGAAAACTAAACATGAGAAGAAGACATTGGTATTTCTTAGTCCAGCATCATAAGTCATTATAAGCATCATATTGGATAAGAATGATACACACTGTAGCCAAATACCTATATTTTATTGTTCAAATGATGTGTGAATACATTATTAATTTTTTGTCAAAACAGCTGTATTTAATGATTGAATTCTGGCCGAGAGTGGATCTTTGGCGGTCTGAATATAGTGTGGGGGATTCACTAATAAAATAGTGCTTTTATTTCCCACTCTATATAAAGTTGGTGTGGGTTAAAGAAATTAGGTTGTCTGCTTCTCTAGCTAGTTGAGAAGAATTGTTGAGGCCCTATCTGATCAGCTATAAGATTATACGTTGATGTACTATGGTTATTCTAAAAAAGATTTGGTGCTCAAATATGACAACAAGCACCAATACTTGTGTATTTGACTTTGAGAAAAACTTGGAGGAATTCTGAATTCTGAGTTGAAGTACGATCATACAGTGTCTTATATATAGGCTTATTCTATGTTTACCACAATGTTTTTCAAACTATATTGATGTGAATATAGAGGCAGCAATGCCTGAGTTCACTCATATCCTATTAGATCCTATTAAATACTGTATTTACATGTGGAGTATAACAATTATCAGACTGAATGATAATATCCAACAAGATCTCATAAAGAACAAACTTTAAGATTGTGAAATTATCAGAATCATTGTCATTTACATAAAATGGTTGTAAACTGGTCAAAGCTAGTGGTACACGATAGAGGCAGCATATCAAAGATAGATTTATACCAAGTCTGATGTACAATTAATTGGAGAAAACTAGGAATAGAGTTGAACATCACTACGTTTAATATTTAGATTTCAGAACTCGCTCCCCTACTGAAACTAAAATGTGTAGTAAAAGAGGTGTATAGGAACTAAAGTTTGTGTTTGATTCCCTTTTTAATGACCAGGGGGACCATTAAACATTAAATGGGTTCTTTATTTAGAATAGATAAACACTGGAATGGCGGTGCTCTTTAAGGTTAATTTTTCGTTTATTAGGGAATCGGTCGGGTCAGTACATTGAGTCATCAAATACTTGCCTGCCTTGTCTGATCGTCCAGGAAACTGACTTTAAGGAGCCCTGTCCCACTGCACTGTGGCTTTCCTAGATACATTAACCTCCCCTTAACTTCTGTTTGGATATTCCGTCTTTTCGTATTGCAGAGTTATCTGCTCTTGTGAGCAGGTACATGTATTGATTGTTACGTCATTTGTTTGTGAGAGTAACGTCATAAAGTTTTGAGAAAACTACGTAATTTTCTCACACAGACTAATGACGTAACAATCAATACCTTATCGCAAGAGCAGATAACTCTGCAATACGAAAAGACGAAATAGCTGTAGAACAATTTGGCCAGGACACTGGTAGCTCAATTGGTTACAGTCACTGTGATAATACATGTATAGCAGTCTAAAGTTCAGGGTTTGATCTGGTTCTAGCCCTTGATTTTCATTGGTTTATTTAATCTGTATTTTTTCACATGAAAGTCCTGCAAGGTATTGGTGTTCTTTTTATAAATGATTTATCAAAGATATATAGTTATGCCACTGAAAAAAGTGTCCCATATACTTAAATACAGTTTTTGGTAGAGGTACGGGGATCATAGATGAATCACAGCCAACAGCGCCAGCCTATGTTTTATAAATTCATCAGATAGTTTTAATGTTCCTATTGGTAGCTTCTTTATGTACCAAAATACAGGGGAAAAATCTATGAAAAAATCATTAAACTGGTGTAAGTGTCTATCATTGATTACTGAAAGATTCATCAACTGTTAATTTTAATGTGCGCTAGAGTGAATGAAAAAAAAGTAATATAATCTTAATTGACTTTGAGCCTCAAAATGAAACCTCAAGACAAATTAATATTTCGCAAGTTCAAAATTTGTTATGCTGTTGATGACACGAACACTTGGACCACTTTGTTCCAAATTTAGTTTCAACACATTTTTTATATGATTTTGATCTTTGCTGAAATACTGTAAACAAGCTTTATTTGAGATATAATCCAAATTCCATTAAAAGAACATTAATTTTGTAATGACCAGAGTGACAATAAAACATTTAATGGCTTCTTGATTCAGAAAAGATAAACGCTAGAATGGGTTTGCTGTCTAGGTTTACTCTCCGTTTATTTGGTAATCGGTCGGGTCAGTGCATTGAGTTATCAAACACTGTTTTGCAATGTCTGGTTTAGCATAAAACTGACTTTGAAAGACGAGGGATGTAAAAGTAGGAAGTAGCCAGCAGTAGACATAAAGTTCCTGAATTCTACACTGTGATAGGGGCCTGACAAGGGAATACTACCATGCACTGTTACTGTTGAAGGTTTCTAAAAATACGAAGGCTGTGATTTAAAATGTATACTTCATTAAACCAGTTTATATGACTTTAATTGCTTCCAAAAAATAGTTACATGCAAGTTCTGTTCATTTAATGCATATTTGTATTTGGAACATGAAAGGTAATGTGATATATGAAGGATTTCTTAAGCCAGGCTTTGCATTAAAGCTTATCACTTATGGATAATCCAATCTATGTCTTATGAAATTAAAAAAAAAAATCATTTACTTTCACTACCAAGAACTAATTAGAATACAGTTTTTGAATAAAATAATAGTTTTTCTTTGAATGTTGTAAGATTTTTTCCCCGTCAGGCGTATTGATCTGCATCTGCTCTGCATCCTTCCATTGCTATGCATTGAGAAGGCAAATGTTGTTATGAGACTATAACAACATTTGCTATTGTAACATCATCAATCTCTATTGTGACGTCATTAATTTCATTGTTGTCAAGACTTAATTTGCTGTTCAATGAACTGTTCGAGATACTAAATAAAGCATAGCTACTCCATCAAAATAGGCAATACATGTATATTGATGGATTTAACTTCTTAACATGTAATACTGATTGTTTTTGTATTGAAATGTAATGTTTAAGTGTAGATTGGACTATTTTAAATTAGAAATTTAAGTTTATATTTTAACTTGTCTCGTTTTTGGTGGCTTAAAAAGTGTAGTGTAAATGAAAAGTAATGTAATGTATAAGTATTAATATATTTGACTGTAAACTCTTAATATGTAGTGATGGTTATGTACATCATGTATATGTAATGATTGTATCATATGTATATATGCATAAAAAAGTATCATGGGGGCTTCAAGTCATATGTATAGGTTCAGGCCCCGCCCACGACGTCACTCAATTTCCCGCATTTTCCGAGGGAAATAGTTTCAAAACTATCGCACCCCTCCAGACGAACTATTTCCTTGGCACGATTGCGCTGAATGATCATGAATTATTGTTTAATAACCTAAAATTTCATAAACATACAATTTAGTGTTTATTTATATTTTATTTCATACCCCTAACAACATTCTTCTCCCCATGTTTTTTTAAAAAGTGGAGGAACTGAGAACAAGCCGCCCTATACATATATTTCCATTGCTGACAAACTTACATCAAGCCCTAATGGTCTTTATTAAGTTTGCCATCAATAGCAATGTGTGTTATAGGACCTTTCCAACATTTGCTAAAATATTCTTTGCTTAAATAACACAGAGTTGTATAATCAATGTTTTTTTATGAATATGCATGAAGTCAGAGTAATTTACAAATATTACTTATCTAACAAAACTTACATGGAAAACCTTGATGATTCCTCAGAAACAAGATGGACAAAATTTCCCTTGATGATAAGACGCTTGGAACGGACGACAAATTCAGGCTCAATGAAGCGTATGGTTATGTTGTGGAGAGAGTCAATGCCGACGAAGCAGCACAGATGGCCGAGCTCTACGATGACGAGTACGACGATACGTACGACACAAACAACGTCGGAGCAGACGACGCAGATTCTGCTGATGAGCTGTCACATGGGAAGTAAGTATAATTATACTACCACGGAATTATTCAAATCTGTGGTACTAACTACATATATCTGTCTGGTATACGTTGAACATCTAATGTTATACTGCCATTTTTTGCCAGTTATATTATTCTTTTAGGTTCAAATTGTATTTCATTCCCCCGGCATTTTTGAGAGGGATACCAGGGTTGGGGTGCCCCGGGATCATCCCTCTTCCATAATACAGCCTCACGCAGGAGGCCTAGCTTTCCCTTCATTCTCTCTTTCTTTTTCATTTCTTCTCTCAAACTCAAAATCATTTATTTATACTCATTCATTGCCAGTTATAGGCATTATGAAGTGTCTAGCTATGTGAAAGAGGCATGTCAAAGGATTTTTGGGGAAATTTAAAGATAATTGAAAAAAAGGCTGATATTTTACAGAGGTTGTAGATGAAACAAAGGGCATCATGAGAAGGTGTTCAGTACCTTATAAATGAATCTATACCAGAATTCTTAAAAAACCACTCATGGAGGCTTTACATTTATCAGAACTGCAGGCATTCGCTAAAAACCTACTATAGAGTAAGTATACAGGGACAAAGTACAGTCTAAAACAAATGTTATAACTGGCATCATCCCCAAATCCAAGCTTCAGTATAATGCAGGGTTTTCATTAAGAACAGGCAGAAGGCCAAAATGACTGGTTCAGGTATTATTTTGGTCTTCTCATGTAATTGTACAAAAGTTTGATCGGTAAACAATGTCATTTGATCTACTCGTGATCAAATGGAAGTTTGTGTAAAGCCTGATCATGTTATGTCTGATCTTCCTTCAGGGCATTCACGGTTCCAAGGATCCTAGGAGGTGGTAAACAAAGACAGCCCAATCGGAAGAGCAGTGAATCCGACTCACAGGTAATAGCATTTCTATAGCATCCTATATAATTTGCAAAATTCCTTCAAGGCACTTTAAGGTATGCAGTAATGCCTTTCACTTACCATTCACAAAAGGGGGTGGAATGCTGTCAAGGATCAGTCACTAGAGGAAAAGTTTCACTTAACAAGAGAAAGGAGATCTAGCAAAAGCATCACACAATAGGGAAACAAAATCTGTCATTATCCATATAAAATATTGTTGAAATTTTCACCTTCTTTGGGTTTTAAAAGCAGCAATGCTTTACTGGAGAAAACGACAGTTAATACATTTAAAAGTATTACAGAAAGAAACTCACCATCACAATAACAAAAATACCATTTCAAACATATAACTAATTGAGCAGGGAACTTTTGAACTTATCGTTAAATTAAAATGAATTCCATTAACTGCAAATACTTTTGGGAATCAATTATGTTAGAGGTGGACTTTAGAAATAAACAATAAATGTGGGTGTATAAATTGTTAACTTTATACTAAGAAAGAGAAAATTTTAGAAATAATGACTGGTTGTCCCTATTTGATCCCCAACATTTTCTTATTTAGACATGAAATGATGTCTGGGCTAAGTGCAATGATGGGACACTTTCATCTCTAAGAGCACAGTAAAATCAGATATACTGGGTATCTTAGATTATGAAGCTGAAGAAATTGTTCATGATATCTTATAAACAATATTTTCTGACAGGATTCGGATGAGGAGAAAAAACGGGATCAATTTGTACGAGACCCAGCTCTCCTGAGGCAGCAAGCAGAGCAGCGTAGGATGTCTCAGAGGAGAGGTCAAGGTCGTCGATATGGCCAAGGTCAAGGTCATCCTCCAAGAGAACAGGGTCAAGATGGACCAAAACATGATGTTCAGGGCAAGCAGAAAGGCCAGGGTCAGGATGCAGATGTTCTCCGAAACAGAAAATTTAAAGAGAAAAATAAGTCGTCGAGAGGAAATCACAACAGGCGTTACATGTCTGATAAGAAAAGGATGGGGTTTGGTGGGGGGCCATAACAACAGCATAAAAACAGCATAAAAACAGCATTAAAACTAATGAGGACACTATAATGTTATCTATTTGTTGCTTTTATGGCATGTTTGGGAGACACATGGAAGATAGGCCAGATACAACTATTACGTATCACACTGTTTCCTGTCTCCTCACTGTCTAGCATATTTTTAATGTTCAAAATATTTCTAAATTTTGCAACTCTGCTCTATGAAAAAAATGCATATTAGATAGAGTAAAACATGCCTACATACTGACAGTTCATTTTTGTTTAGGCGTAAATGATGTCTGATGTATACAATTGGACTTAATTTAGGGATATCAAACTGTTTCCTTAAGTGTTGTAAGAAAAGGCATGGAGTGCTAGATCTCGTCAGAGTTCTTGTTTCCTCGGGATAGTTTCCAAAGTATGCAAGTCTTAAAGGTGATTCCACAATATTTTGATTCAAATTACCTTGTTTTTGTGTTGATTACTGGAGCAATCTTTCAGGTCAGATATAATTTACATTATCCTGAATTTTTCCAAAATTGGAGCATGAGCACAGTGTGGTAGGGGTGTGGGAAGGGGCGTTTTCTAATAAATCATAGAATTTCATGCAAACACAGTTACATTAGTGTTTCCCAACATTCTCCTGAATGTTTCCAATGTTTGATCATGTGCTTTGGGCCAGGTGCGATTGTCTTATAAATGATGGAATTAGTTACATGATTTTGAGAATTGTAATCGCCATAATATTTTTGGAAGAAAATACTTGCTTTGCATGTCATCTTAAAAACCCTAACAAATTGAATAATGGAGGTATAATTATTATGGTTGTATGCAAGCAATAGTAAATTAAGGTTTTATTAATGTGTTTGTATCAGAAACAATTCAGATTTTATCATGAAACAATGAAAGACATCCCAACGTCATTATGTAAAGTTTGTGAACCAGCAGAGCTATTCAACCATCCCATTCAAGACAAAGATACAATAAAGTTAACAGATTAGTAAGATAAGCTATTTAATTATAATGGTAACGACATATTAAGATAAACCATTTTATTCAAGACATATGCACTATAATGGTAACGAAATAGTTAGATTAACCATCTAATTAAACACATACAAACTATAATGGTAATATAATAGATCGGCAAGTCATCCAATTTAAAATATATATACTACATTGTATATTGGTACCGGAAAGGGTATACATTATTTTTGGCCGAATTGCAATGCAATCAGGGCTTATAGATTAGTGATTTGGTTAAGAAGAATGGTTAAGTTCAGTTACAAAGTAACTAATTGTCCTACATCAACTAAACTTGCATGGCTTATGTATCTAAGGATGCTTATCACATGCGATGCTTAGGATTCTGCTTCTGACCTACATTTTCAACTTGGCTGACCAGGTTAAGAAGTTTGGTTGAGGTCAGGCCCCATCTGCACTATGGTTAAGAAGATTGGTTTAGGTCACTTACCAAGTAACTACTTGTCCTATATCAACTAAACTTGCATGGCTTATGAATCTTAAAGGATGCTTATCACATGTAATGCTTTGCATGAAAATGTACTTTAGCAATCCCGCCAGTATTGCTATTGGCGGTTTCTTGTTCTTTTGTTGATTATTTATTTATGAAGTTGATCATTTTTCTGTGAAATGCATTTAAATGATTAAAGATGAGAAAACATAAATGAATTGAGTTGTTTGTTTCAATAAAGTAGGATCACCATGAGAAATTGAAACTATAAACTTCACACTTCTCTGTCATATTCGGATCCTGCTAATGACAATGTCTACCTCATGATCACTAGCTGCTTTCGGACCTAACAACCTCAATTTCAAAACCCTTAATTTTCCTTATAGAAAGCAAATTTAATTCCGTCGTAAAAGTCCACCTGAAAGATATGAGAAATTTACTTAGATATTGAAACTTGTATTTGTTAGCTCACCTGCCCGAAGGGCAAGTGAGCTTATGTCATGGTGCGGCGTCCATCGTCCGTCCGTCCTCGTCCTTAAACTTTTCCTTTAAACAACTTCTTCTGAAGAATGGACAGGCCTAGAGTCATGATATTTGGCTGAAAGCTTCGTTGGTAGGAGCCCTACATAGTTTAAGAACGAAAATGACCTTGACCTGTTTTCAAGGTCACAGGGGTCAAATATGTCAAAAACTTCAAACAACTTCTTCTGAAGAACTGAAAGGTATAGAATCTTCATATTTGGCTGATGGCTTCCTGGGATAGAGCCCAACAAAGTTTGAGAATGAAAATGACCTTGACCTACTTTCAAGGTCACAGGGGTCAAATGTGTCAAACACTTCAAACGACTTCTTCTGAAGAACTGAAAGGTATAGAATCTTTATATTTGGCTGGTGGCTTCCTGNAAGGAATGGATTCATTAGATTTGGCTGGTAGCTTTTTGGAATATTGACCTACTTACAAGATAACAGGGAAAAATATGTCAAGCAACTTCTGAAGAAGAATCAAAAAGCATAGAATCTTATAATAATATTTTGCTGGTAGTTTCAACAGATGGAGCCAACAAAGTTTGGGAGGGAAATATTTTTAGTGCAATATAATATTTAATGATAATATTTTGCTATGACTGCTTAAATATTCAGGTGAGCGATACAGGCCCTCTTGGGCCTCTTGTTTTAAATTCCTTGATATTTTTCACATTTATCCACTACACCGATTTTAGCAACAGTTCTGAAAACTAGGCAATTTCTATAATGCACAAGTCCAACGATCATTGCAACCGACAAAGTAAACACGAGAATAGCTTCATTAGAGCTGTTTTGTTGTTTTATTAAACGGAAAAAACCCTAAAAAAAACTATCTTATAGACTTATCATTACTAAGTTAATAAGACTAATGCCTAAGTGTAGAGCTATTATACACGATCCATCCATTAAAGGCAAATGTGTTGTTGACAGCTTATGCCAGCAATTATATCTCTCAACGTCGTATATGACCATTCCACTCTAATGGATGGGCGGTGCATTGCGTACTCGCTTTTCATGAAGACGACCGGAGTTCAATTTCCCGATCGGACGTGGACACGTGTTGGGTAACCCGCGCGATCTCGCCGGTTTTCTCTTGGTAGTCTGGTTTCCCCCCAGAGTTTAGACATCCTGTGCGCTTTCATACGTGCCAACAAGAATGATTGATATAAAATGAAAATCATTGACGGTTTATTATTTTAATGGGGATTGTATGTGACAAATGATCTGCTTTTTCAAAATCTATCTAGGTTTCCTTGATTGACGTGTCATGTTTACTGACGAAGCTCGAGGTTTATTTATTTGACAGACTTCAATAATACATGTACAATCACCATCCTGAATTTAACTATGCCATGTTATAGTTTTATATGAGCCAAAATCACACTGAACCACTTCTGAAGTAGAAATCTTGTGTACAATTTTTTTTTTTTTTAAATATCTTAGGAACCCCTCAACAAATTTGTTTATATTTACATACTGAGATACTCACATTGAGTTATTTACCTAATCAGCACGGTTTCATTTATAGTTCAACACTAGATTAGATTTTGGTGGTCATCGGTCGAGGGTAATATGTAAAAGGTCAAGGTCAAAAATCACACTGGACCGCGTTTGAAGAATTACTTTATGTATAAGATAAATATCTGACGAACTCTCAACAAATTCAAGGAGTTCGCTACCCAATGCGACACCCGACCACCCGTTTTTTCGTGTCAGTTTTTATCATTATATTAATGCTATAATATATATTGTTTTATTCATTTCATATATAAGATTACTATACACGTTTTGTTTGTTTCCGAATTACCTCAATATCCAAAGTTATAAAATAAACTGTATATGTATCCCCCTTGTTTTTACAGCATCATATAATGTGTTTGTTTCCTTGGCTTATAATTACATTGTCTTCTACTGCATAATCAAGTATTTATTTGCCGTGGATTGCTGACAGGAAGTAATCTTGTTTTAAATTATGTACATATACGGACTGCATAATATCCCACCGACGTATTTAGTCTTAGATTACCTGTTGTATGACGCTGTCAACAGGATGCATTCTGACACCTACCTATGATTGAAGTCTGCCCGTTTATTTTATAAATAGTATGTTAATTTGGCCAGGTTTATTGTTTAAATATTTTGTCAATTCGAGACGTAATCTTGTTGATGCGGACTGCATAATATTCCACCGACATAGTCCGCATGCTATTCAACTGACGTATTAAGTCACCAGATTACATACTATATAAATACTGTCAACAAGATGTCTACTGACACCCATTGATGCCTAACTGTGCGATAATTCTACAAAATAAATTCACTTTATAAATAGTATGTTAATTTGGCAGAAAGAGAGAGAGAGAGATTTTTGATTTAAATATGTTTTGTTCGTACCCATGTCCTACACCTATCGCCATGTGACAAATACAATCTTGATTAATCTGTTAAAAGAGCGTTGCTACCTTTGCGTTATATCAAACGACGGTGTGTATGGGTCGAATGGAGGTGATCGCATTGTTACGATGTCGAAGTGGTTTCGGATAGCTTGGGCAGATACACGACACCCAAGAAATGTGCAGCCACTCGAGATCTCACTCGCGGGAACAAAGCGAGTCGGCAGGCGCAAGAGCCGTGCACGTGTCTGACGGTGTTCCCAAGCAGTCGTTACACGGGGTCTGGCGCATGGCATGGCGGACGGTTTTACGTCGACTTATACATCAGTACACACGATTCAACAAAAGGTTTATACCCTTCACGATACAAACAAACCGTTGTGCATAGTGACGTTGCGATACTCCCGCATGGCGCATGACAATGTAGTCATTTCCTCTGATAATGTATGGCATCGGCAGGCGCATAGCTGCCAATAAATAATCACGTAGAAACAACCCAGCAAAAACATGTCATCTATGAAGCATATGGGATCGATGCGCACTGATGTGTTTTTTGAACCGGCAAAAAAACAATCCCCAATTTATAGGAAGGCTTCGATTTCAGAAAATCACCTCTGCATAACGATTAATTATGTGAAAGTTTCAACGCATTCTGCTGGTTAATTGCGAAAGGGTCGGTCCTTCTTAATGAACATCAAAAATAAAATGTTTCAAGGATGTTTACGGTGACATGTACATATGTTCCTCATTGTCCTAAAGAGTTCCAAGCTTTTATATCTATTAATTATCTTTTACGGTTGCTTATTAGACCGCACTAATTGGGGGACATATAAGATAGCGCGCAGGTTATTTTGGATAATTAAGAAAACTACACGACTTTCATGGGCTTGATTTTTTTACAAAGTCATTCACCTATTTCTGGGTCGTTCGAGGTCCTTCGGGTTAATGTTTATATGTTTCAAACAGGAAACATGTCCATTTTTCTGAAATGCATTACGTTTATATATATTATACAAAGATGTCACCGTAAACAACATTTATTGATGACAGTTGGTTCATTAAACAAATTAATGTCGGATTTTATACATGGATCACGGATAAAACATTACATTTTGACAAATTGATTCCTGATCTTGTAGTCATATCAATATGTGTCAGATTAATGGGCCTCTAACAACAGTTACAGGCTTGTACGCTTCGTGCTATTTTGCTTTCTGTTAATTGGAAACCAGTTTGCAAAGTTCGGAAAATTATATATAAATAATGAACTCGGGACGGGAAATGTACACGGCCACAGCTGTTATTTACGGCTTGACATTGAACTTTAGCACTCGATTGTATTTATCTTTCCTTACAAAACTCCTGTTTATAATTTCTTAAATATAACGTATTCTGAAAACAATAAACTATTGATATTTTTAAATTGATTTAAAATCGTCATCTGAGGACAAGAAAATTATCTTGTATATTATTTCAGATATGTCTCGAAAATCTTTTAAAGAAACTTGGTTTAGATTACTTAGTTTCATATATATATCCTATTTCATACAAATTATACATTTTTGTTAAAATACAAAAGTATGAAGCATGTTTTCCTTGTACTTGCAATCCTCCAAGTTAAACACATATTTATACATACATATGATACAAATCACTCGTGTAATACAATTAATAATGAACAAAAATATGCAATTCAAACCATAACAGTAGATGCACATGGACGCATTCACAACACACATGGACGCATTCACAACACACATGGACGCATTCACAACACGCATGGACGCATTCACAACACACATGGAGGCATTCACAACACACATGGACGCATTCACAACACACATGGAGGCATTCACAACACACATGGAGGCATTCACTACACACATGGACGCATTCACAACACACATGGACGCATTCACAAAATACCGAAAATGTCAACAGATCCGTAATTCGAACACAGAATTGACAACACTATGAAGAAAGCAACATAGGAGATCATTGAAAAAGTACAAGGAGAATAAGACCAGGTGTTCCGGAAGGATGCGCGTCTTCTGCTTCACTGACGACACACGCCTTGAAAATCTCAGTAATGCCACGTCCTCGTAGCTAGAAGGGGATAGTGACAATATAGACAACAAGGCACATCTACACTAATGAGTATAATTATAAATATCGACTCTCGTAGCTCATAAAGATATCATATATCCCAATATGGTCATAGATGGCGACCATAACGCTTGTCCACAGTTTTCATTAACCTGCATCGTTGGAAACCCTGTGTGGTACATATGTATGTTTGTCGATCAGCACTTGATATTCATCACGTAAGTCATTATTTTAGGAGCAAGCTCTTGAACACAAAATAAGTGTGATATGTAAGAACCGCAGATTAGGTAATTAATGATGTTACTATCAAGAAAGGGGAAAAGCACAACCGGAAGATCGAAGTCGTGCCGCTTATTGTAGTAGGAAGCTGTCATCGTTGGTCATGTTGTAGGAAAAGATCGGGGTAAGTTGCCGACGTAAAAGAATATGTAATGTACAGGACTTCAGGCTCAGTAGCGTATATACGATCGACATTGTAAATGCATTTTTTTGTTATTTAGAGACAATATATCGCCAATATCTGAATATGAAATTCAAGGACTTAACTAGGTTTTGTTACATGTACAAATATATTCATCATGAAATTCAGCCTCATTTGAAAAGATGAGAAAGTCGACCAGATGAGGGGCGAAATTAGTTCCAGGACGAGGTTTATACTGTTTGTAGCTAAAAGGATGATGGGTTGAAAATACTTTAGCAAATACTCGCTGAAGTCATCGATGGTACTAAATGTTGTCCATATAGATAATATATTACGTGTTGCAGTCTGACATGTGCACAATGCCTAGCACTGAATGTATATACTATATAACCTTGTGGAAACAAAGGTTAACCTACTTTAGAGAGTTAGAATCTAAAATCTGAAGATATAACTTCTCCTTTTATAACCCCAAAAGCTTGTTTTTACATATCTGCAATTCGTCATTAAGGAAATTTTGTTTATATCGGCCAGGTTTTTTCCCCCTATGTACAGCCTTGACAGAAACGTTTTACTCCATATGGTAAACAGCAGTGAACCTCACCACTGCGGAATTAGGGGGATTTGTTGGCTTTACCAAACACTTATATGGAAGTGTACAACGTACACGTCTTTCAATATAACCGCTGGCTGGCCTCACCAGAAGCCATAGAAGAGTTTGATCGCGACTGGCTAATAACTATATATATACAATGTACATACAATGTATATCTGGTCTAAACACGCTGACCTCACCCTGTCAGTTTGAAAGGCGTTTACTTTGCACATAAACGACGCATTAGCTGACGTGTCCTATCTGACGAGTCTGACCCGTATCCCTTACTTTTACGAGCCAGTCTCTTTAGGAAGAAAGGCAACATAATGTGACATATGTCTCCGAATAAATATTAAACTGAAGTCAACTCTAAGTAAATCAAATACGTTACGTTATTCCCTGCTTTTTTCACGGGCAAGTCTTTTTGATTAATAACGTTTTACAGACCGCATTGTATGTGTGTGTGGTTACTTCCGCGGGCGCATTCTTTGTTGTGGAACATAGATACAACAGAAAATCCAGATGTTTAATTTCCCGGGCAGGCATTTTGAAGGACTTGCCCTGAAAATAGAACCTTCATGGGTACGATCTAAAAGTAAAATCTGATCGGTTGTGCTCAGGTATCATAATAAAAGGATGTCAATTTCAATTAAATTCAAGTTTATTCCGGGGGCCTTACGACCCATAGGTACACATAAATATAATACATAATATTACATACATATTTGGAGAGTGATCTCTCATGACATGCATACAGAACACAGAAAGTAACATATACATGTCTGTATAAGATACACAAACAACATACTGACAGAGACGGGAGGTAACTCCGCGGCGATTTTACCTTGATTGCGATTACATAAATGCTGAGTCAATCTACCAATTATTACTAAGTTTAATGAATACATATTGTACACCATTAGCAATAATACCTGTATTATACAGACATACACACACAGAAGTATAACTGTGTCGATGGTAGGGATCTCAATACTTTTAATCAAATAGCCTCAGTCTGAATACCTCGGGGCGAAGCCAGATCCTGGATATCATCCTGGAAGCATGCTTGTGTTGTTTTCTTCATGTCAACAATGCACGGTTATTCATTATTTATGCATAATGGACATCCAAAGCGTTGTCAAATTATAACTCGAAGAAAAAATGAAAAATCTACACCGCTGGTCTACATTACACACCCAGATATCATGGCCCTACATCGTATTTGTATGTAATATTTTATCATATTCGACTAATGAAGATCAGGGTTATTGATATGCCTTTATAACACTCCATCAAAGGCATATACTGGACAAATATCAGGACCCTCGGTCTTATGGAATAAAAGAAGATTCTTAAACCTTTTTGCAAAGTTAAGCCCATGTCAACTTTTGACATCGGTCGTCAATCAAATTTGACATTTGCCCTACATAAATATGATTAAAACCTTTGCAATGCTGGTCTACATAACATACACTAGTATCAATCCTCTAAACCTTATGTTTTTTTTGAAAAAATGTTGCTTGAAGGTTTGTAACTTTTCTGATCCATGTGACCTTGACATTCGGTCCGCTCATTTATATGAGGGACTTCCATTACTCTTTGCTTGGTATCTACTTGTCAAATATCATTTTTCAAACAGTACTCCAAAATAAAATGTTGACGGACAGATGACGGCGCTGCAACTTGGCATAAGCTCACAGGTACTTCGTGCTAGGTTAGTAAAGTTGTATAAACATCTTTGTGTGATTTAACCATAGTTGTGTATGTTTGTGTTGTTGTCTAACTAAACCACATTGCTGAATACTTCCAGCATGCTATTTTATCAATTTAAAAACCTACCCTTAGTTCCAAACGAGTGCAACCATTTTTAAGCATATTGCTATTATTTCGGAGGGATGAAGAGCCCGTCATTTTATTGTTAATCAATCAAACATATTGTAAATAAAACATTAGAACATCAATAGCTAACCGTATATATTGTACCCAGTTCTGCTAAGTCAAGTCAGTTTTACTTTTTGCATCGTGGATATACTATGCCTCTTTAAAAAAATGATGAAGCAATTACACATTCTTCCCTTCAGCTTTCTTCATCATGCGATAATTTACAATTAATTAATGTTGATGTTGGAAATGTTGATTGCATTTGAAATACAATTAGTATTAAGATTATAGTCTTTCTATGGCCATTAATTGTCATTTTCGATGTCTATAGGAATATCGAATTAGCCATTACGGGGATGTTCCAATCGAGCTTGTTGCTAACATTATATTGATTATTAGCCAATCATTCATGTTGCAATCTAAATCAAATGAATTATTGAAGTATTGGAATACTATTTTTAAATCCTGCATACCCATCTCAACGTTATTTTCACGTGTTGCATCGAAGACATAAAACGGCTCTAAAACATGATAACACGATTTCTCGTTGCTCCGTTGAAGTTTCTTCATCATGCGATATTTCGGAATAATTTAATGTTGCTGTTAGCTGTATTTTGAAAGACGATTAGCCTTAAGATTATAGTGTTTCTATGGTTGTCAACTGTCACCAATGCTATCTCAGTGGAATATCGAATTATCAATTAACGGACGTATTGGGTTGCTCTATAAAGTTTCTCCACGATTAATATTCCGATCATTTTCCACCGCTGAAGACGTCAGTAAAATAAGCCCATCACAGAGGATATGTGTCTAATTTTATTTTCTAATCCGTTGGTCATTACAGTTTTACTGAGTTGGAACGTATTTTCTTCTTGCCTCTTACAATACTCAATCCTGCACCGGTTAACCACTTCAGCTGTTCTGAAGAGTTGTGCTCTTTTTCTTTCAAGATTAAAAAAAGGCTGATGCTTTTATTAGAGTGCTGTGATATCAGCAATGCAATCAGTGTGATTCTGTGGTTACCTTTCTCAAACGTCGTCGACGATATAAATAGAAGTCGACGATCCAATTAAGAACAGCCATGCTCGCAAATGTCTAAAGTGCAAGTTGGCGTCGTTTTTTATTTTTCAAGTATCGGTGTCACTACGAGTACAGAAATACAGCCTTGTTGAATCCATTTTTCAGCAGCATCAGTTCCCAGTTAAACTTTCGGACATTCGTTAAAACATAGAAAATACGTGGACTCCTGCTTGAATGTGGAATGGCACAATTAGTGTTGGCTGAATTTACCAGACACACGTTTCACGAACTGTCCAAACAGTTCTTCGTATGAACGACGTACACGTTCTGAGCTGTTTACGTCAGGTCGATAAATAAGTAGTAAAGTGTCATGTTTTCACATCAAGAAGCGCAAGAGCTTCGCTGAACAAATTTCAGATTTCATTCTCAATTGTCTTCTACCTGTTTGCATTTATTTGCAATGAGCATTCTGTCATACACTGGTAAATATGTATGAGTCAGAAAACCAGGGCCTGTATTCATGAAATTGTTCTCAAGCTCAAACTCAGATTATGTGGTTAAGTCCAATTTCTGGTTGCGGTCTTAAACCATGAAAATATCATATTTTGAGAATGATTTGGAAGATTTTTTGAGATTCGTAAAAGTGAATACCGTTTTCAATGTCTAGTCTTGCCGTTTTGACCGCGTCACATAAGTGAAATATGGTTCAAGAGAGTTTGATTGAGAACATATTCCAATTTCGATTACGAGGACGATTTCATGAATACAGAACCAGAGACATTTCAATCATACTTTATATATCAAAAATAATAACAAGCAATATATAAAACATATTTTAATATATCTTAGACGACATTTCAATTAAATTAGTGCCATACAAATGACCTCTCTAATTTCCGTTTCTTGTCTTACATCTTAACACTCTCCTTATCCATTTGTGTGAAACTCCGAAACAGTTTATAATAAATAGGACAATCAATAACTGAACGACTATAAACGTAGATGTTTTTTTCCAATAATAGCTTTTGATAAAACGTGATCTGAGATTTTGGAATTAAAAACAGACTTATAAAAGATGAAATTCGTCCTCTACTTCAGAGGGGGAGTTACACTGTTTACAATATCTACGTTCTCTAGGTAAATCAGAATACCTTCCAACTTCTACAGTTAAAGAGTGTTTAGATGTACGGCTCTGAAGTTCGTCTCGGATATAAAACATTATATATCTAAATGAAACGCTGTGTAACCATTAAAATAATAGATTCCTCACGAGTGTTCACTTTAGACAGGTTTCAATGTATATTAAAGATAAGTCATTAACAAATAGTTTTAAATTCGTGATGATTCTTTTTACACAATAAACTTAGCTTAAAAGCGTAACTAAGACTATTTGCAACAACTAAGTTAACAATAAAAGAAAAAGATTTTTTTTGAACGACAATGCGTATTTGTTGTTTTTAGTCATTATATTATATGGTAGAGGTTATTGCCAAGCTTCGATGAGATCAGTTACGTCAGGGAGTGGAACTCTTGTCCGACATAACGTCATAGAGAATCAAAGGACAGGTTTAGGTACCAATAGGTAAATTGTTTTATCTCTTTTATCCACAATAAAATGCAAATAAAAAGAATATACTACTTACAATATCGTTTCAGCGTAAGCAACAAATTAGCTTAAAGTGATACATGTATCGGTACGACCTATAATTGTCCAATAATTCCATCAAAACAGGGAATATATAATTTACTGAAAGTGGTGGTACAGTATACGATCATATAATTAACGGATTCTTATTGAATTGCGGATATATTGCAGTAAGCCTCAGTATACAAGTGCACATGTAATGCCCCTCGTTGTATTTGCCACCTCGTTCACCGCCAAACTATTTCATTGTCCCTGTCTTTTTTCTTTTTTGTTTAGAATTCATTGAAACATTTCCATCAGCTTATCGTAAAACCTCTTCATAATAACGAAATTTCTCTGAACAAATGATGGCAGTATAACGAGGTTTTACTGGTAATTTGTTATAAATTGGCATATCATAATGATAAACCAGGAAACGATCACGCAGTTCAATTTTGATCCGCTACAAGGAGGAAGAATACTTAAAGACGGTGTCTACTTGTACACAGCATATACTACATTGTATTTTAACTGTGAACGGTGAAATTCAAACTAGTTGTATATCGACATAACCAGAAATGGGTACATGTAGATATTCACAGAGCGAGTGTTAACCGGTGCAGAGTACAAGGCTGAAGATGTATCTATGTTTGTAGTTACTTGAGAACAGGCGGACTGCATCACGTAAGATTCGTATCACTCTGCATGTAATACAAAACTTTTCTCGATTGTTCAGTTTCAAAATACATCATTATAATAACGCTGCCACATGTAGTATTGGTCTTAAGATATCAAGTTACGAACATTTTGGTCAAAATAACAGGTTCATATGCATGTTATAAAAAGCTTTATAAACACATACTTTATATAACAAACATATAGCTATTTTAACGGCATCGTATTATAAAAGTTGCCACCACTATCAGTAAATTATTTCAAATAAATCTGTGTGTCATATCCGGCCACTCAAACTCATTCTCATGAGTCAGGTGACTAATTGATGCGACACACAAATTAGCCTCATCCGCCACCTCCACCACCGGCACGTCGGGAGGGTCTGTAGCCCGCTCCTCCTCCACCGCCCATCAACGGACTGTAATCTGTAAGAGTAATATATAAGACAGAGCTGAATTCCTTATAGAATACGTCGCTTAGAATAGAAAGAATAATAAGCATAGTTACAACGAAAATGAAAATAAGATGTCAATACATCTCGTAACAGTAGCTTCCAAGGTTACTATCGTGATATAATTGAGGTTTAAACACCATTTATCAAAACAAATGGAGTATCTGTTGGTTATTATTATAATGATTGATATACTTGTATAATATTTGTTAATGCCCATGTATGGCCTCGATGAACGCTCTGGATGTGATGAATTATTTTAGCTGAAGGAAATTTAAGCGGTTTTCTGCACCTTTCTGTTTTTAATATATTTGTTGTATCTTTTGTTTTCCCATTATTTTTTGTTTTTATTTTCAGTGTGTTACGTGTCCTCGAAATGGTTGTGGTTGAATGTAGCTTTCACTCTGAGATGGAACATGTGCTAGTCAACACGGGTTAAGCAGGTTGACAAACGTCATATTTATTCCCGAAAACTGCGTCACAATAAAAGTAATAAATACAGTAATCCAACAAGAGGCCCAGAGGGCCTTATCATTCCCCTGTTTCTTTTGTTACATGGAACTGACATATAGGTAACTTCAGACCAAATTTGGTAACTAGAACACAAGACAGTTAAAATATCTTAAACGGTTCTAAGGATATTGTCGTTTGAAATTTCAAATTTTAGTTTTAAAGCTTTTAACCCATGTTGACCCTTCGGGCCAGGTGAGCTAAAACGAATTACACTGTATCATACAGCTGTTTCGCTCTTTTGGACATTTTTCATTTTAAGGCAGAGTAAATTCAGGGAAAATCTCAAAATCATTTTTCATTTCATCTGTATTAAGGATACCTGTCCTCCTGGTCGAGACAAAACACCAAGGAATTATCTTTTAGTGTTCCTTCCTACAGTGATATCCCCTGATTTTTATTACATATACAATTGATAAACTTCTCTTGGCTTATGTCACCTAACTGGGTCTTTTTTCAGATTTTTTTTTAATAATAGTTTATACTAAAAACAAAAGACTCAGTGCATGCTACAGTTTATGGCCGTAGTATAGAAATCTAAAAGTTCACTCTCCTGAAATTAACCCCTAAAACGTCTTCTAAGAATAGTATAAAATGATTCTGCCCATTTATTTGAATATTTTGGTTGTGTGGCATGGAGAAAATACCCTGAAACCTGTCGATTTCAAACGAAGTCGAAAATAGCAGAAAACGCTACGTTCTATATAAAATAATTTTTGAAATGACCCCTGCATTTGCTTGTCTATCTCCACGCTAGGTCTACCCCAAAATGAGAAAGGTCTTTTAGGACTCGGTGATCGGTGATACTAAGGACAAAACTGTTGGAAATCCAAGTTGCCTAAGCTACTGTTGAAACAAAGACACAAGTGCGTAAAACCCCTTAAATTAAGAATTCAAAATTGTACAGGAGTAGGAGTTAATTTCTAATTCAGGAATCTGGAAAATGTGTATGTAATAAACCATGTAACTACTGAGGATAATCTATCAGCAGAGTCTACCAACTTGTATCATACAGTTGATTTCACCTTTTAAATTGTGTAACAGATACCATCATACAGCTGTATGTTCCTTCTATGACCCATCGTTGATGTCAGGGCAAATCGAAAATACAAAATGTCTAAACATGAAAAATAAAAGTAAGTGACGCATTTTAAATATTCACGACATGATAAATATTATTCTCTTTTAGTTTTTGTTTTATATACAACAACAAATATATAAGTAACTACTTATTTTATATCTACTATTTATACCGTCTATTGACCGGACTTACCTGTACCATATCTACTTTTTATACCGTCTATTGACCGGACTTACCTGTATCCCTAAGCTTTGGTTTGGCTTTGAACCCTTTTGGTGTTTCTGAGGGATCCTCTCTCTGTAAAGATAACAATTAGGACCATAAGTGTCGTAATAAGAAATATAACATACACGTTTAGATAGCAAAAACACTGATCAAATACGGCCAACATTTCAATGTCCACTGTCTGTGCTGTTGAAATCACGGTTTTAACATACCGCAAAAATCAGGAAACAAATATGGCAAGAAAGTGTAACCTGGATTCAGGGCATTTCTTTCCCGTTCTAGCTGTCACAGTAAGTAGTGTATGAGACTAAACACCTGTTAAATTCAATGTTAAAAAGGGTCTCACAGTTACAACAACTTTGTTACAGTTATTGTACGTGTATATATTCATGTAATTTTAAGAACATGCCCCCTTTAGGCGAACCAGCCAGCTTAGGTGTTCCTTGACAAGCTGCAGACATTTCATAATGCCCCAGAAATCTAATAAGGATACTATTATATATTCAAAAGTGATGAAAAAGGAAATGTTGCAAAGGGAATAACACGTTTATGTCTGTATTGTTTCTACGCACAGGGCACAATATCCCTATTGTTCAAAAAGTCTCATTATAAGTCAATTATACCGATCATGCAGTGGGACGTCGCTGACAATTGGCCAGCTCAATGTTCCTACTTATAATTTGATGTAACTTTGTATTTTTCGGAGGTTATGGTCTCTGTAACAAAATGTACCATCTCAGAATAACTAAGAAAAGAAAGAGCGGGTAGAAAAGTAAAGTTAAGAAGATGGTTTCAAGAGTTGCAAAGAGGCAGCAGATCAATTTTGGGTTTCCCCAAAGTCCCTAAGCATAATAACTCAGAAAACACCCCAATCTGATGGTGGCCTCACAACTCTTCCATGCATGCATCGGGAAAGAGCACACGTCTTAATGAACAACTCACTTAACGTAAAAACGCAATACCGTTTGCAGATAAAGTAGCTTATGGATAAATCGGTCAATAATGAAAACGTGTGTATAGCACCTTGCTTAGATCCAATTGCAAGACCAAAATAATTATGGACTGTAATAAGCTTTACTTCAAATATGATATATGGTTCAGGGATAAATTGTATCATCGGAATATCCAAGGCTTCATAGAAAACACAAACATAATAATATTCAGATATTAATTTGTCTTATAAATCATTTCGTAATTATTTTTATTTTTCTTTAGGCATTAATTCCCTAGGAAATGGCGAATATTTTCGTTTCATCTTTGTCTGTCACGCAGCTCAAGTTTAATGCGTTATATCTTCATATAAAATGTTAAATGGCTTCAACTTATGTAATCACATATTTGAAGTAGTTTTCAATGTCACAGCTATCGTAAATATATATGATAAAACTGAATGAGTCAGTTCCCTTAATGATAGATTATTGTTACATCATAAAAGCGATAATCAGGGTAATTGAAATAACTGTATTGCATGTTTTCATATGAACATTAATTATTAAATCACAATTATGAGAATGATTCAGTTGTCGTTTTATGTTTATTTTCATAAAAGGAATTAGATATACATTATACGCAACGAGTTTCTATATATTACTAAATTACTATATACGAAAGATAATACATCTTCTATTACAAATTATTGCGAAAAGTCTTTCTAATGAATATTGAAACAATTTTCTTTGTCTTGATAAATAATCCAAATGAATGAGTCCGTTTTAGATGTCTAGTATATTTATCCCAAGCTTGAAACCAATCTGACGGACAGATATAAAACACAATTTAAAGAAAAACTTTAAACAAAGTCCCCCTTCACGCTCATGCAATCACAAATGCTCCGTCGCAAAAACTGTAGTCCACTCAATAGACTTAGTATTTGGTTATCAAGATTAGCGTCCTATTACAATGTACACATGTAACAGCAAATATCTTATAGTGTCGTATCTTTATGTTCGGAATATTGCAACGTGTGCTTGAGGCGGTTTGTTGGTTCATGTACAAAACAATGAGAAGCCAGGTCGGCAATTTTGAATCTCGAAATTCAATGTATGAAATTTAACCGTAAATCTGAAGGTCAATCACGGAATGGAAGCCATCTTGAAAATAGTAGTTCAAAAGTAGGTGGTTTGAAGTATGTTTGTTGGTAAATGCAATATTCTGCCAACGTTCTAACTACTCCATGAAAAGAACGCAATGCAGAATGCAGTACCTAATTATTTTCAAGCCTTTGTTTCGGTCAGGGAACAGAGCTCGTAACCTTCTTCAGCCAGTAGAAGTAAATACCCGTATGCTTCAACTTCATAAAGTATCAATAAAGTCTTCCCGAAAGATTTTCAGTTAAAAGTGTTATTTCAGTCATTTAGAGTTAACAAAGACCATGTGTTATCCCTAAACTTTAAAATTGGTCGTTATACTTGAAGAATACTACCTATGTCATATGCCACAATCCCACTAATTGTAAACGAAGTAAAATAATAGAAATCGAGTTAGAACCGTAACTCTCAGCAAATCAGAGGCATACTTATTCTGAAGCAGGTAAAACGTATGCAATTTTTCTCCTAGTGATAGTTTTATAAGTTATGGTGAGTCAGAGGTCAGTCAGGTAATGTTTGCTATCCGATTGGGAAATGTATATTATGTATCTATCACACATATACACTAGCCAATCAATGTTCCTGTGGACCTTCGTTTTACAAAAAGAATAGTATTTTAAGAGATTCTTTTCAAGCAGTTCATGACAAAATTAGTGGAAGGGAAAAACGGGCCAGAAATAATTATACCCTGGGACACAATGATGGATAATGAAACTACATCTAATGTATCCTAGCAATTTTTATTTTGCAACTTAATTACAAGAATTACGCGTAATCATATGACGTGTCGCCTGTCCCGCTTTGTCAATATAATAAGCATTTGACATAGTACATAAGGAAACGGACCTAAACGCAAAATCATAACATTGGTTTTTTTCAAGTCCACAAATTTCAGGTTTTTATCCGAAAAAGTGCAGAAATCCATGAAATGTTTTTAAAGTATTAGACTCTACTACCCATGATATAAAAAATATACCTTAAAGTGTTATTTCCCTATATAAACTATAGTAAACTTTACCCCCTCCCCAAGGGAGAACGGATAGCTCGGGGGTCCTGGAATTTACAATTTAAGTAAAGACCCTGATGATCTTGCTTTCTATGCAGAGAAAATGACTGTAATACTTCTTAGTCTGGAGAAGAAGATTTTTGAAATATTGGTTTATTTTTACCTTTGGGGCCCCGCCCTGGCCCAAGGGGTTGGGGTAGGAATCCCAATTTTACAACTTAGTAACCTCATCTACCAAGAATATTTCTGACCAAGTTTGAAAAAAATCCATCCACTGGTTCTGGAGAAGAAGTTGAAAATAAAAAAAGTTTACGGATGATGCACGACGGGACGACGGACGCCGACGGACGGAAAGCGATTAGAATAGGTCACTTGAGCAAAGCTCAGGTGACCTAAAAAGTCGATAACCTTCGTTTTACTCAAAAGAATAATATCGTAAGAGATTCTTTTCAAGCAGTTCATGACAAAATTAGTTGAATAAAAAAACGGGCCAGAAATAATTAAACCCTGTGACACAATGATGGATAATGAAACTACATCTAATGTATCCTAGCAACTCTTGTTTTGCAACTTAATTATATAACCGAGATAATATTTGAAGGTATTTCTTTAAATGAGGAAGCATTGCCCGCTGCGATCGATTCAAAATAAAATCATAATCGTGGTCTTTATATGACATAGGTGAATACTGAATAATACAATGAAATACATCTTTTGGGGTTGGTCATTATACACAGGTGGGCTTTAAGGAGGTTTTTCTGTTACATAATTTTGGATTATATCAGAGACATGGCTAAAGACATGCTAATATAAACATCACCAATAACATGCATCATAGCGTAACAACAGAGGCAGCGTGTGATTAATAACATGGCCGTATCGTTATTACATGAATATACCCAGGTAGCTGTATTACAGGATGAAAAGAAACCCAATCTGGCCCGTTAGCGTCAACCCACTGACAAGCGAGCCGTCGTAATGCACAGCACTTATTCTCATTATAGCTATTTCATTACCCGGTCTTTAATTATCCGGAAATTGGGTAGAGGACAGGAGACATAAAACCGGCTTTAGGTTATACTAACTAATCACTTAACTGGGTATAAATCAACTTACGATGACGGCTCTCTAAATTGAATTGTCATCTAAAACCAAGTCCGACTCGTCCACTGTACGGCTGGCTTAACTCTTTCTTTAGATTTGTAACATATCCATTTTTTAAAAATGGTTTTAAGTGAAAAAATTAATCCATTTTGACACGCAACTGTTACAGTAATTAATAAAGTATGCATATTAAATACATTCGAGTGTTTTTTGCAAAAGATAGGTGTACATGGTAATCAGGTGTAAAGCTTGCCCTTGAAAAAAAAGAGTCGGAGATGTTTTAGGTGGAAAAGGTCTCCGTGGAACACTCTGAGGCATGTTGTCTACGTTAACAAGTCATAGTTCTACACCTTTTAATCAATATGCAATCATATGGAAGTTAAAGGAGCTATTCTGTCGCTGATTTATATGTAAGCATTTATAGGGTCGCACGGAGTGTCTGTAGTACTTGGTACACTAGAAATGCCACGAGGGAAATGTACTGAAGATTTTCTAGGATAGGATGATATGATTTGACTTAAAATTATTTTTCAATGTTCCATTAACTTACGGAATATTATCCTGTTGGATGGATGGTTAAGTTCATATCGTACGCTAATTATAATTCAGATCAACTTGCTTGTAATTCTTCCAGTTGATTTGACCAAATTTTGAGTAAATATATATATATTACACTTCGATCAATCGTTCGAGTTTGTTGAATTAATGATCTACGCTTAAACCTATTTATCACTTAATGTTAAGTTTATTCTTCTTATAATAAGAACAACAAACCTTCAAAACATAAAAACATTGCATTTATCTAATGTATTCAATAGCTCAATTGCAGAAAAAATGTGTTTTCGGTCAACTTACTATGTTTACATGATTCTGAC